GGGGCTTCTAACGGCCGCCCTTCATGGACCCCTCAAGGGTCCTCAGATCTATGTTGTTATCTAGGTTGGTAAAGCTGGTAGCGGCGCGGCGCGCATCGGCGAAGTTGGTTTGATTCTCTTTTTGACCGCAAACTATCACCTTGGCAATAGTACGTATTAGCGGTACACTAGATTTGAGACTCGTTTATCGTTTATGATTGCTTCGTAGGTATATTAGCTCTTTTATTATCGGTAGGTACGCTATGGTCACTATACGGGCTGTAATGCGGTGACGCTGTGGTCAATACCTACCTATGTATACATACCTACCTACCTACCTACCTACCTACACTATACCTCGCCCGTTGGCGCACGGATTTCCCATGCGTCAGATAGTGTAATATGTAGTTTGACATCTCGCATCAAGATCACGGCTAAGTATTACGAAACCGTATGTCAGACGCTTATTTCAAGGGCCCTCGGCTTACCAGAAATTTATCGAAGCGTGATGATCAAATGTTTGGAGATTTACGTCTTTAATGCAAATATTCTTTTGCTGCCACTTTTCCCTTGTAAATGATACGTCGAAGGCCCGATTGAGAAACAACTTTTATCCAGGGGGCCTGGCACGTTGTCAGGTACGAGAATATAATGCCCGCCTTCCTGCCACGCAGCTATTTGAGTCGGTATCAATGCTCATTGGCCGAAAATATGCCGGTGAAGAAGCCAAGAACATGAGAGAAACCGTCAAGATCTTCCAGAATCACACCTGCTACAGCATGTTACAAGGTTCCCTGTTCGAGGCTAAACTAAACGGGTGCCTTATTTCGAGTTGGCATATGAGTGGGTGGAATCAAGGGATATACCTGGTCTACCTGGTCTACATGGTCTACCTGGTCTTCATACTATCTCGCGAATCTGGGGGAAGCGGTTTGGAGGGACCGGCATCGTTCCGCTTTTGGTCCTTGTCGCCGCCTAAAATCGCCAATTCCGCCAACGGGTGCAGGAAGCGGCTCCTTGTCCAAACGGCCCGTGGACCATCTACGGTTTATCTATGGCTTCTTGACAGGGAGCTTAGAACTATGTATGAGAAATTCGGTAATCTCGTACGCTAGATGAACACGTGAAGTCTCGTGTATTAGCAAGCCACGAGGTTGACTGAAGGGAGGACTATAGATGAAAATGTAATTAGATGCTTTGCTTTACTGAAGAAATAGTATGCCACTGCCCGGGTGACAACTGACGATAGCCTCTAGGGCTTGTCTAGGGCTTGAGATTTCGCATGATGATTGTCTGTCATATTGGTGTTTTAGTGTCGTACGTTCCCAGGGCTTTGGGTCCGGTATGAGCGAAATGTTACCACTGAGAATGGATCAGAATGGATCAGCCCATGCTGATGGGACGCATCGTCCCAAACTCACGCGCACAAACTTTTCGCATTGTACATAGTTTATATGTATGTATGTATGTATGTATGTATGTATGTATGTATGTACGTATGTGTATGTATGATGATGGTTGAGCTAGGGAAGATTCCTGTTTTGCTGAATGAAGATTGCCACTCTTGTTCTCCAGTTCTCCAACTATTCGCTCATTACGGATTTCCTACCTGGTTAAGAATACTATTGAAATAGCACGGGCCTCTATATACTACTGTCATTTATCAAGTAATCCGGACCACAAGAAGCTCTAAGCTTCTTTGATGGCGAATTGATGTTCTGGACCGGTTCCGCGATATGGTTCTCGTCGCCGGCTGACACTGGGTAACACAAAATACGCAAACTGTTTACATAGATCGGCCTTTCGGGGGGTTGATAATAATACGTGGAAGAACCCAGAGAACTGTCTGAGGTTGTATGTTGCTTGTCTGCGGACCTATGTAGGATCCCTCCATCTTTATCTACATAGGCACATGTAGGAGATAGATAGGTAGCTAATAAGTTGTGATGTAGATAGCGTATGAGATAGTGTACGTTATGTGGTAGTATATGTAGTTGACATCACATTTGGGGTTGTTTCTTTTTTCCCGGTACCTTTCGTCTCCAACTGTCAGATTATCTTAAGCCCCGGATCAATTACCTGCTTGCATATCGACTTGCCATGCTTTGCTCAGTAAAGTAATAAAATACCGCTGGTGCATCGTTCCTGCAGGACGAATCTGCAGGCACAAATTTGACATGCAAGGTACTGGTCGATGAATAGGCCGAGAGATATGCGATTAGTATGGAAATGTGGAAGTGTGGAAGTGTTGTACATACATACTAAGGTACATAGTAAAGTATATTAAAGTATAGATGTACCTCACAACATTCAATACTTCGATCCGTTTTCTATCATCTACACTATCAACGGACCGGACAAGCTATCCTGACTACCCTAACTACCCTGACGTATTCTAGTTTCCAGCACTGTGGGAGCCGGGTAACAGGCCGCATAATGGGAGGCAAATTAACTATGAAGGCTCTTGCCTGGGATCCTGTCGAGCCGGAAGGCTTCCACGGAACTGTTATGGATACCTTGTAAAGTCGGAAGTCCCAGCGAGCTGTCTAGGCATTCTGGCGGTGGAATAATTGTCTGGACCCTGATAAAGCTTCCTGATTTGGGACTCTAATCCGATAAAACACCGCTCCACCGCTATGTTAGTACGACGTAGCATATGTACATTAAGTACTACATATGTAGAATAACAGCACTGACGATACACTACGGGCCATAGTAATGCATACCTGCACAGTACATAATCCATGTACTAACATGCATATGTAGGTACGTATATGTATGCGTAAGGTTATGTATAATTATGTATAATTATGTATTGTATATGTATGTAGGTAGGTATGTACTATGTATTTCTAGGTTTGTTCAGGAACGCAATCTCTAATGCAATGCTAATGCTAATGCATTGGCAAATGCACTATTAAACATGCACGGCAAAAGAATGAAACGAACGATGGATGTTCTAATGATACCCAAACAGCTCTCTCTGCGCTGTGATAGCACGTAAGAATATGCACAATACCTACCAATGCAGAGTTGTGCTTCCTGACACGGCCCCCAAGAGAATCGATAATCCTCAACGCCCATGTACGTATTAGTACATTTCCGTACGCTAGGAACGGTAGCGAGCCCGGCGAGCGTATCACCGATATTGAGACGCGGCTTCTAAGGTGCGCTATGATAGAAGCCGCTTTAATGTTCGTTGGAACGGCAGAACGGCAACTGCATCATGCGTGACAGCGTAGTAGGCACGTTGTTTGAAGATCCGAAAGGTTGGTATCAACTCACGTAGGTATGTATTCTGTAAAAGATTACGAATTGGCGGTTTGATAATCTGATGCAAACTGGTGGAGGTGGTGTTTGTAGACTTAGACGAGGAGACGATTGCGTTGCGGTGCGTTGCGGTGCGCTGCGGTGCGTTGCGGACGGGCTAAAAAAGAAAAGTACTATGTAAATTGATGTTCCTTTTTTTTTTTTTTTTTTTTTCGATTTCGATATTCAATGTTTTCTGTAGTGGTTCCGAGGCCGAACCGCGTGCGGAAGGTGCTGTAAAGAAACGGCTTTGGGATCCAATGACTGCATTAGAAGATCCCGAAGTACGAAAAAGGCAGGAAGGACTTGCCTTTGGTGGTGGTGACGAAGTCTCGTAACGGCCATATTACATTACATACTTCTAAGATTATTTCCTGCAAGTTAACAAAGTTAAAAAAAGAAAGTAAGAATAGAAGCTGATTTCTTTCCCACCTATTCCCGCTTGACGCCTAACACCTAACAGCATACAACCTGACACCCGTTTCTTCGTTGATTACTAGTAACATTAAGTCGGTCACCTCAACTCGTCACGTCCATCACGATGCCGTACTTTGGTTTCATCAACATCTAATCTAACACAAAACCCTATAAACTATCGAGCCTAGTCCTATTAACGCTACATAGAACGTTTCCACTACGTCGGTGCAAAGAACAGACCCATCAGATCTTCTATCACATCGATATGTATATGTGAAATGTGGGGTGCAATCTCATGTAACAGAATGTTCGCCGAGTTGACCGTTGAGAGTTGACCGTTGAGAGTTGATCGTTGAGAGTTGACCGTTGACCGTTGACCGTTGACTATCTATGTTCTCTCACTCGCAGAATAAGCCTACGGCTGGTATCAGCCAACCCCGTCTCACGATTCCTGTGATACACCGAAGAGAGGAAAATAAAACCCCAAAGTATGTTCCATAAACAGAAGGCCTCAAGGTGATTTGACGGATACCGTATCATCGGCGTCTCTAGCCTCTTCTCTCTGGATGAATAGGTTGCATCTAACAGTGAATCGATGGATAGTGCTTGCATATCAGGAACGCGCGCGTTTTGGAGGATTTGTCCACTCACACACAGACATTCGGGGGCTAATCCTATGTTTCCAATATCAATCGATGCAACCGCTTTTAGCAGATTTTGGCAGATTTTAGCAAATTCTAGCAGATTTTAGCAGATAAATTGTGAACAACATCCTTCATCACAAGCTAATCTGGGGTCAATCTGCCAATGCGAGTCCAGCTTAGGCAAAACACGCTCATCATTGGTCTTCATTTACTGAAACTACTTCACACCAAAATATATGGATTGGCATCTATATCCAATACGATGCATGCCCGATACTGTTGTATTACGCACGCGATGGCAGGCTGCCTCTTACTGCATGCTTACCACGCTCACCTCACCTAGATGAGTTCTTCATTGAGCAGTTCACAGCCTATTAGTGAAATCCAATCACCGGCAGTTTGCCAAATTTCCATTTTTCATTTTTCATTTTCAATTGCGGAACGTTTGTTTGGCTGCATCTTGGGTTTCTGCAGAAACCCAGAAACCCAGCATCGTGGTGTCGATGGGAGGTTATCCCGGCGGTCAACGTCATTGCCATCACCATTTAATCACCATTAATCACCATTACGAGTTGTGATTGTCTTGTCTACACTGTAGTCTGTTTGCCCGCCCCGAGAAATAATACATGGCTTCATAGCCTTTTATCGCCATCGGCTATCGTTCCGGATTCTATGGAGCATCTACCTAATACCAAGCCTTCCGTGATCCAATCGACAAGTCCAAGAGGCTGTCCGAGGCTTAATTATAAGCGCAGTCTTTCTCGTGAAGGCGCCGAATGGCGAATGTGATCCATAGCGCGACGCCTGACCCTTCGTACCTGCATTCCATCACGTCGTTCTACTGGATGAGCACCATGGGCTGGCGCAGAGGACTCCGCGTCGCGCGCAGGCTGGACGGCGTTCAGCGACTGGCTGTGCAATGTTGCAGCCGAACACAACCACCACCGACTAGTGCTTTGGCAAAAGGACGAATTATGCAAATTGTGTGGCTCGCTTCCTCGTGTGGTCCAGCGGTCAAACCGACCTATCACAGGTGGCAGTTCGCTATTGTACAATACAAATACATACGACGTAGATATGCATGATCCAACCATCCAAGAAAACCCTGAGAAAAACTTGTGCAGAGTACCATCTACGGCAATCAATTCCCTAAAGAGCCCTAGAAGCAAATGGGGAAGGCCGCCGAGATACTACTGTATGGGCATCGTCTCACTTGTCTATTCGCTAGGTGTATTAATTATGCATCATGTTAATGCTTTACGTATACTATCTACGTTAAGGTATCAGGTATCGAGTATCAGGTATCAGGTCTACTATCAGTCGTATATACATTAGGTACTTAATATACTTACATGTAGATATGTATAAGCCGTTTAAATATTTACATGTACCTCCTGGCAAATATCTATCTACACTATCTATCTAGTGTAGGTTAGAAGGCTTTACATAGATTATGACGAATTATGTACACGAATAACGTCTTACATAGATAACGACAAGAGATGGCAGGATGGCTAACCCGATACTTCACCGTATATTGGTTATCCTAGAATTTGCATAATACTTCAAAAGAATATACTCCAAAAGAAGAGCCAACAACAACCCCATGTTTAGCTGTCGAATGCAGAACTGCTATGTATGTATGTACGCTTGATACCAGGTCGGGTCTGGGAGTCCGTATCGTTCTCTGAACGGTGCTAGGCGATATGCAGGGTGTCGTATGCTTGCGCGTGCGTACAAACCAGCGGAGTTTAAAGGTGTATACACTATGTACACTATGCAATACTAGACAGGTATACGACCAGTCGGACAAGGTTTCTGCTGTCCGTCGATAAAAAGAGAGAGGCAGACATAACATGAGAGCATAACATAAGATACATGGGACATAACATAATGTACCCATCAATACGCGGTACCTCGCCCTCCCTCTAGTGTCATCCAGATTTAGAATCGCTCGGTGGCTGCGCCCACATAGTACTAGTCGACATACCCACTCATCTCATGTTTCCGTTTTTGCCCCAGACATGCAGTAGACAAGGTTGGCCAGTGGTAACGACCCAGGCCGACCAGGACCATCTTTATGTAGACCCCCTTGTCAGCTTCCCCAAGTGAGACATACATGGGTGACCTTGAGTTGAGTGGGTTCCCTATGGGTCTTCCATTCCACCCGCAGGCCCTCCAGTGCCTATCGATGGGCTCTTTTATCTGGTGTAGATGATCTGGGCGGGCTTCGACTATTTTACATTATCCTCTACAAGGTTCGCTTCAACCACGTTCATTACTCTCTTACCTAGTCCGTGATCGACATATCAGTCGACTTAGGTTGTCTTCTATTTCTTCATAACCCTATCGGTTCTCTTGTTTCTTCCGTGACTCGACATTTTGGAATCGTTCGATCACTCCTCGAACTTCCTGCCCTTCTTTAAGTATACAACAAAAGTCACATCCTATCCTCTCCCAAGCCAGTCTGCTTGACGATAATACCCGGGAGTTCCAAGTCGAGGACAGGTTCATGTACAGCAGCATATACATCGAGTCATAAGCAACTAGATGGTCTTTGGTATATATCAGGACCTTTCATTCATTCAGACATCCAAGAACCGAAACCACCATCTTTAGGCCAACCGCCCACCAAACGTACCTATTGTACAATACAATTACAACTACAGCTACAACTACCACTATACTTAATATATAAACGAAACGAACACGGCAACACTCTAGAGAGTCATCAGCAAACGTAACCAAATTCGGTAACAGGTTAGTTCCTTAGAGGATCAAGAAGGTCACCGTCCCGCAAAGACTGACAGGAAAGGTAATCAGTCACGACAATGGATCCAACTATGATGGGCTCGCAGATGGGACCAACACCCTTCTTCTACTATACGCCGGACCCCAACCCAGAGAACCGGCACCACGGCCACTTCAGTCAGCAGCCAGGGTTTCAACAGATGCAACAACAACAGGTATTCCCTATCGTACCTACGTTGCCATCGACACCGATCTACTCGAGGCCGAATTCGTCTTGCTCGCAGCAACCTCTATCAGCCAAGGTATTCGGTGCCGTTCCCAGTAACATGACTCCCATGGCATCGCCACAGGCCATACACCGACCAGCCATTATGCTTCAGAACCAGCCTATGAAGCTGGCGCTAGAGACTGAGCTTTGCGATCACGATGGCTTCTACTACCCGGCTACACCGCCCCTGTCAACATCGGGCAGCTCAATGGGCAGCCCATGCAACACGAACGACATGCTAGCCACACCGCTGAACCCCATGTTCTCCGGGCTAGATGGACTCGACGGATGCGAGATGGTGAAGCCCGAGGTTGAGACGATGCCGGAGAACCTGGAGAATTTGGATTGGGCCAACTGTGGCTCACCTCCATTAACACCTGGTAGGTCCTTGTTTCTTTCTCTTTTTGGATTGATTTTAAGTTTTGGTCGGGATCTATGATTGGGATCTAGCTGCTTGGATTTGACAACCGAATAAGTTGTTTAAATCCGACTTCTAAAAATACGAACTGCAAAGGTGCAGTTGAGTTTCGGGGCGGGCTGGCGGGGCTTGGATTGGAATTCACCGCTTATCTTGCCTATCTTTTAAGCCTAGGGGACATTTGGTTGCTAACTTTAATTTTTTTCTGCCCTTACAGTTTATCTGCAATCGCAATCCACACAGGCACCTTCAGTCACCTCTAGCTTCTCAAGCGATCACCTTTCGCCTACTTCCTGCCCCTCTTTATCGCCGTCTCCGTCACCGTATGCACGATCTGTTGCATCGGAACAAGACGTTGATTTTTGCGACCCTCGGAATTTAACTGTTGGCGGTGTGTCGAACCCCACTCTATCGTCCGAGTTCACAGCCCCTGTCGCATTAGAAGAATTCAGGGGTGACGTTCTCCAAAAACAATCGCTCCCTGATAACTTCACTTTCAACACTGAGCTTCAACACGGACTTCCAACTTTCGAGGATATCTCGGATTTGGAATCCGAGGACGACTTTGTCAATCGCCTAGTTAACATCAGCGAGCAATCTGCCGATTTGAAGAGGCCGCGCTCTGGTACTTGCTCTACTACCCTATCTTTGGGTCACGAGTCCTTCTTCGCAGAGAGTGATTTCGACACCGAGGACACAGCAGCCACTGGTCTTTCTAGTCCTGCTAGTTCCTCAGAGTGCGAATCGCACAAGGACAAGAAGGTAAAGAAGTCAAAGAAGGAATCGCGCAAATCAGTTCCCGTCATGAACGTTGCTGCTGATTCCAGCTCTGCTCAGAGCGACGAGCAGCAGCAGCAGCAGCAGTCGGCTCAGAATGATGCCACACAAGCCAGCAGCAATGCAGGATCATCATCAGGATCAAGCGCACCTACTACTCTTCCGGCCCCACCAAACCGCCGAGGCCGTAAGCAATCATTAACTGAGGACCCGAGCAAGACTTTTGTCTGCGAACTATGCAACCGCCGCTTCCGCCGACAAGAGCACCTGAAGCGCCACTACCGTTCTCTGCACACGCAAGAGAAGCCCTTTGAATGCCACGAGTGCGGCAAGAAGTTCTCCCGAAGTGACAACTTATCTCAGCACGCGCGAACTCACGGCAGCGGTGCTATCGTCATGAACCTCATTGACGGTAGCGAAGAGGGACTCGAGATGATGCCGTCTGGAGAGTCGGACTACTCTAATTACGGAAAGGTGCTTTTCCAGGTCGCATCTGAGGTTCCCGGTAGCGCCAGCGACTTATCATCAGACGAATCTCCCAGTGAGAGCCAGGGCAAGAAGAAGCGCAAGCGATCTGAGTAAATCATCCAAATTCCTCGGGAAGGATTGAGATCAGCTTTACACGCTTTGAAGATCGAATAAGAGATCTCGGCGTACGCCCATTAATGATATAATGACTTTCACACATTCGACCGATTCCCCCAGCGCATTCACGGATCTGGTCTCAAGGCCCTAGGTAGAGAGGACTACAAAAGTTGCACTTTGATTTTTCAGCATCGACTTGTCTTCTTGTACCATTATTGTGAAAACATTTTTTTTTCTTCCAATCATGACGACTATTTAAAAAAGCTCAAGGGAGCGGCTACGACAGCCATTAAGGGATACAAGGGTTTTGGTGACGAGGCGCGAACGGGCGGGCATTTTTGACAACAATACAGAGGCAGAATTCGCCATGGACAGCAATGCAATACACTATTTTCGGCGGCTTATAATTCTCTACGCTCGTTGTAATTTCTACAGCGAGGCGGTGCAGAGCAGCCGTCCTCGCGGTAGGACACGATCAGTGAGAGGGAGGAGGAACCAGAAGACGATGCTCGAAGGGGCCCTTCACTGAAATCGCTCTTCGTGTGTCTAATTTCTAGTTATTCAGTTTATTTCCCGACTTTATTGCGATGGCTTTCGTGGCAGTGCTGGTCACAAGAAGATAGCTTTGAGCAGGAACCTATGTACAGATAGGAAATTAAATCTAGCAATGGATTTTGTCGCCAGTAATTATTTTGCCTTGAATTTAAAGTGTGTTTGTGATGATTCCAATTCCTATTGTTTACCTACCTACTATAGGTACGTAGTAGAATACCAAATTGTACCAGTAGAGATGCTTTATCGTACATGGAATCGTACATGGAATGTATTCAACATTGAAGGTTTACACGGGACAAGTTTCTTTGTGTAACAAGTACATGGATCTGTCTACTTCGATACATACGTTTAGGTACCGTCCGGTACGTTTTACATTTCAAGATTCAATGCCCTTTTGTCATACGTTAGTCACTCAAGTCCGACAATTAGCCCGCTAACGGATACGGTCCGTCTTTCAAAACCCGAATAACATACACGCGTACCTAACGGAGGGACTTTTGTTAACTAACTACATGTACTAATTATTCAAGATAGCGAGATAGCCAACTCGTATCTTCTCTAGGTAGTTTACCATGGTAGAACGCTTTTAGTCGGTTAATTATCTCCAACTATCTCTCTTACAATGTCTGCCAATAAAAAAAAAATCGGCTCCTAAGATTATAGCTTCTAGACTTTCAACAATCCGAAACCATCAAAGCTAGCAATCAAGTCATAGCTCAAAGTCTAGGACCGCTATTTTAAAGATCCTATGAAGTCATAACACGCCGAGATCAGCTGAGATATAGCGAAGAAAGGTGAAGCAATCGTGCCACACTGATATCGCGATAGTCGAGATTTGGTTCCGTTTCGTCTAGTACAGAGAACCGGGTACAGAAGCTTGGTACGGGGAGAAATGACTCCCTGCTAGGCCGGTGGACTATTCGATTTTTCTTCTATTGCTCCGAAATTGATAGCTGTCAGGCCTTTGCAATTACCGAATACCCATGTCATGCCAGAGCCATGGCAGCCGACAGACCCCTACACGTTGTCGCGCTGGTCTCCGGGGGGAAGGATAGCTTCTACTCCATTCTCCACTGCCTGGCGAATGGGCACCGCGTCGTAGCTCTAGCTAACCTCCACCCGCCGCCTAGAGTTACCAATGCTAGCCGTTGTAGCTATAGCAGAGATGCCAACACTTCCGGAAGCATAGGCAGAACTGAAGCCGAAGAGGTAACTGGGGCCGATGCCGGTAGCACTGCTACTACTACTGCTACCATACGGATCTCCCCCGGCGTGGATCAACAACACCCCCAGCACCCTTCATGCCCTACTTCATGCTCGGCACCGGAAATAGACCATGGTGGCGACGAGCAAGAAGACGAGGCCGACCTGAATAGTTTCATGTACCAGACCGTGGGTCACCAAGTTATCCCATTATATGCACAGGCCACGGGACTACCTCTATTCCGTCGATCTATCCTGGGAACAGCAGTGGACCACGGCATAAGCTACCAGGAACCTGGTGGCCACCGGGAAGACGAGGATGAGACCGAGTCGCTCGTCCCGCTATTGCGTGCTGTTCTCGAGGCCCACCCGGACGTCAACGCCCTGTGTACAGGCGCTATACTATCGACCTACCAGCGAACCCGCGTCGAATCCGTTGCTCTGAGGCTCGGCCTAGTGCCGCTGGCCTATCTGTGGCAGTTCCCCGAGCTTCCGTTGCCCTTTGCCGCCAAAGATAGTCAAGCTGCAGGTACCGATCGGAGCGATGATGCGCAACTGCTCCGCGATATGGCAGCCGCAAGGCTAGAGGCCCGTATTGTGAAGGTGGCTAGCGCTGGCTTAGGAGAAGAGTTCTTGTGGGAAAATGTGGCAAGCGAGTCCGCCGTGTTTCGCATCCGCCGCGCGCTCCGCCGCTTTGGGGGCGACGGGGGACGGGGTGCCGTCTTAGGAGAGGGCGGCGAGTTTGAGACGCTTGTCGTAGACGGCCCGTCGGTGCTGTTTAAGGGTCGAGTAATGGTTGATGAAGATGACAAAAGAATCGTACGTGAGGGTGGCGGGAGCGCTTGGCTAAGCATTCGTAAGGCTAAAGTCGAGATGAAGTCGGATTTGGATGCATCATCTCAGACAGACGGGTATGGTGTTCGTATCCCAGACCTGCTCGATTTGGAATTCAAGACTGTTCTCGAGTCGCTGCATAATGAGGGCAAACTGGGGTATGATCATAGCGGGTTATCTCAGACATTACTGTCACCTGCATCGAGCTTGTCTCGGTATAAGCACACCGAGTCTGGTAGCAACGACTGGTACTTTGTTGGAAACCCGGGGGGCATTGAAGATCAGACAGCTAGCGTCGTTGACGAGGTTCGTCGACGGCTAGGCGAACATGCCCTACCGTCGACAGCAATTGTCAGTTCCGTCATCGTGTTACGGCGTATGGCAGACTTTTCGACCGTTAACAAGCTCTACGGTGCCCTGTTCCGTGAACCAAACCCGCCTGCTCGAGTAACTATCTCATGTGGGGATTCGATGCTACCTCGAAGCGCCGACATAGTTGTTCTCCTCACCGTTCAGCGTCATTTGAAGCGAAATGAAAGGCGTGGTTTGCACGTCCAGTCGCGGTCATACTGGGCACCAGCCAACATTGGCCCATACAGCCAAGCGGTCACGTATCCCCTGCTCAGGAGCGACGAGGGTCAAAATAACGATGCCCAAAACTCAGAATTGCTTCTTGCGGTGTCCATCGCGGGCCAGATACCCTTGGTACCCGCCTCCATGACCCTGCCTCCGATACCGAAAGACGGCAGCAGCAGCCTCGCATTGCAAATAACCCTAGCGCTGCAACACCTCTGGCGTGTTGGCGGTGAGATGAAGGTCCAATGGTGGAGCGGCGCCGTGGCATACTTCCCGCGCTCGGCCCTCCGTTCGGAAGCGAGACACAGTGCCCTGCTTGCATCAGCGGCGTGGAACGCAGCGCACGTGGCATCCTCTAGTCTGTCGACAGACGCGGTAGAGGAGCCGGACCCTTGGGATCGAAGGTATAATCCTGCGTATATGATATACGGTAATAGCAGCGACGATACCGCTTCGAGACCGAGCCTCCCTGATTGGGAGGTCTTGAGGGATTTCGATGCAGGTGCAGATGCAGATGCAGATGCTGACGCTGAAGATGGGAATATTCCCCACAGACCACTACCGTTTGTCTTCTCCGCTGAGGTCGAAGAGTTGCCGCGTTCGGCTGGTGTGGAGTGGCATGCGCATCTGGGATTCGCGAACGTAGACGCCGGATCTATCCGGTTATATGTCGCTGGCGGTGGAGGGACCCCGGAAGATCCCCTCTTGCACCACGTCGTTGTCGAGTCCCCCTCAGGTGACGTGTTTGCCCAGACAGCAGCTATTTGCCAGGCAATTGAAGGACCTATCTCGGCATTACCCCTCACTAATGCGGTGGATTTTGAGAACATAGTGGACCATTATGCAGTAGTTGTTAAGAGGTCTCTACTCAAACTACTGGAGGGCTCGGAGCCCGATGATTCTGTTGTTGTCGTCGTACCAACCCCGAAATTCACCTATGTTGACCCCGAATCGTTCAAGTTCCCCGAGCATATAGGAGCTTGGTTAAGTAAGGGCGCGATAATACCGTGTAGGTCGCTATGGGATCCACAAGGTCGTCGCTTGAATATGGTGTCTATATTCGAAACTAGATGGTGTAAAGTACGTTAGGGACTGGATAGAAGTGATATAGAATAATAGATGAAGAAAAGAAGTTCAGCAACTCAGTCGTAAAGGACATCTTCATGTGTCATAGATAGCTGACGGGTATTCTCTTGTAGAAATCTTAAACGATGAGCATATCTATATTGGTATATACTATCTAGAATACCGTCTATAATATCATCCAACTACCCGTACTATAATCATCAACTAAGTATGCAAATCGTTATCATATTAAAGGCGTGAATACTCAAAAATCAACACCCAAAACTTCATTGAACTCTCTTCCTTTGCTGCAGCGCAGGCGCCAGCCCTTTCCAAAAATCACATCTTTCCCACTGGTCCTCCGGCACCGTCTCCATGGAGAAGTTGCCCACCTGCATGAGTAATCTCTCACCACCACTACCAGTACCATTACCATTCCCGCCCCCCTCCGCATCCCACAACTCCCACACCGGAGCCCCGGGCGTCCGCAACGCAGACGGGTCCAAAGTCCGCACAAACGAGATCCAGTAGTCCATAACCCACGGCACCACACCCGCAGCCGCAGCCTCGTTATAATAGCTCGCCGGCCCGCGCCCCGGCCCCTGCTGGCTATCCGGCCCAAACACGGCCCACGACTCCCATATATGCGGCACGCCCAACCCCATCGCCGCGTTCATCGCGTCGTAGACGTCGTACCGGTAGCTCCAGGCGCGGCGGGGGGCATACGAGGCGAGGAGGGTGTTCGTCGGGCAGATGAAGGTCGCCTCGCCGTAGGCGGTTGCCGCGGAGGGGAACCAGGACGCGTGGAGGGGGACGGCGGCTTGGAGCGGGTATATGGAGGGGACGGCGCTGGCCTGGGCGGCGGAGAGGCGCGGGTAGTTGTTCTGCAGGAACAGCGTCATGGCGTCTGAGCTGGCTGCGTCGGCGGGCGCGAAGACGGTGCCTTCGTTGGTGGTGGTGCCTAGTATGAGGGGCACGTCGACGAAGGAGCCCTGGGAGAAGAGGACGGAGGGCGAGTCCGGGAGGAGAGAGCCGTCGACGCAGGGCGTCCAGTAGAATAGGGGTAGTGGCGCGGGAAGACCCGGGCGTCCGGGGAACGGGGAGGGGATATTCGCGGATTGCTGGAGGGTGGCGGTGTCTTTGCTCCGGAGACACGACATTGCATCTTCGTCGTCGTCGTCGTCGTCGCTGCACCCCGTCTGCGAGAGCACCATGTCGAACTGCCACTCGAGATCCGCAACGGTCGGCTGCGCGGGGAAGAAGGGGGATTCCCCGATAGCGCCTACGAAGAGATCGTCACTACTACCACTACCACTACCACTACTACTGGTGCCGTTCCCGCGCAGCGTCTGCCCGCCCTCCGCATACGAAATAAGCAAATGCAGCGCGACGGAGCCGGCCCCAGCCGACGCCCCGTGGATCACGACGTGCGCCGGATCGCCCCCGAACTGCGCGATATGCCGCCGGACCCAGCGCATAGCCTCGCGCTGGTCCCGGAGCCCGGTATTCAAGTCTCCCGCCGCGCCGTCGCCGTCGCTGCCGCGCACGCGCTCGCTCGCCAGGAAGCCCCAGAGCCCGACGCGGTAGTTGAAGTTGACCAGGACTATGTTGCGGCCCGAGCGCTCGACCACGGCGGTGCCGTTCCAGTTGGCGTTGCTGTTGGTGGTGTAGCCTGTTGTTTTCATATTTGCCTAGTTAGCGCGGAGTTGAAGGTTGGTCTTTGGGTTGTTGAAAAAGGGGGGGGTATGGTTGGGTAGGTATTAGAGTGCAGGTAAATAGGAGAGAGGACAAAGAGTAAGAAAAAAAAAAGGGGGGGGAGCAAAGACAAACCTCCGCCCTGGATGAACAGCCACACGGGCAGCTTAGAGTCGACTGTCGCGTTAGCCGGCGCCCATACGTTGACGTACAGACAATCTTCATCTTGGGCTCCGTCGTTAGGATACGGCGCCGAGATGCCCAGACAAATAGGGCCGAACTAGATTCACTCCGTGCGTTAGTCAAATCATTCATTTCCTTCATTCTATTTCCTTTCGTCCTGTTTACCTCCTTCTCCTTCTCCTCAGGATGTTTATTTCTATACCATGGATAGATACTTGATAAACAAGACAAGACAAGACAAGACAAGATAAAAAACACCCTACCGTATCAGCCGCCTGGTCCCCCGAATCGTCCACCTCCGGCTCGATCGGAGCCCGCCATCTACGCTCCCCCGTCGGCGGCGCCGCATACCGCATGCCGAGGTACTCCGCGACGCCGCCATCGCGGCCCACAAGCGAGCCCTGGTACTGCGCGTATCCCAGGTTCACGCGGGCGATGTCCGGTCGCGATGGGGTCTACGTGCGTTAAGTCTTAGCGCCTGGTCTACCGCGGAACTCTAATTCAGGGGGAGAGCAGGCCGGAAAAGAAAGAAAGAAAGAGAGAAGAGGGGGGGAGAGGGAAATAGGAGGGGGGTGTAGTATTACCCTCTTGTCCTCCTCGATAGCCCTGTCGCGATTCCGTCTGGGTACTAATATAGCCGTGGGAGTGACTACGACGACGACGACGACGACCGCTATCGTCGCCAGCACCGCAAAGACGTGCCATGGCTTAACGGCTCGTCTTGGGACGCCGAGGGTTTTCATAGCTATGGCGGCGGTTGTTCATATATATCATAGGATACGGGAAAGGCGGACCAGAGCTATCGGGTGTGGTTGGTAAATAAAGACAGTCGGTATCAAGGTCTTCCCCCTCCTCAAATCCATCCGAACCTTCACGAGATGGATGGATGGATGGATGACACCCTTTTTTTTCTAAGTTAGGGAGTTTGTGTTGTCAACTCGACTTCCCCTCCCCTCACATCTGATCTGATCTGATCTGATCTAGCCAAGCACTGCGACAGGCACAAAGAAAGCATGAATCAGGGATCTAACCTAGTGATCTAGTATGCCTTGTCCCTCGTCGCGCAGCATCAGTTCTCCCGTCGCAGTCCTAGGTACTCTTCTCTGGCGCGCAGAATTCAAAGTCGTCCGTCTGCAGCTAACCGAGACAAGTCCCCGAGATACTCCAAAGTGATGGCTCGGATCATGAGATCTCCGCTCTCGTGGAGGATTTGGGAAAGTGATTAATCAGTTTTACCAAAATTCCAATTTAAACAACTCGAATATCATGACACAATACCAAGTCAATACCAAGTCTGAATATTTTCTGGGAGACCGACTCACTTAGGATACCTTAGGTACGTAACTCCAATCGAGGAGAATCTAATAGAGCGAATTTTAACATTAAGATTAATTTCCTTGACGTCAGTAATAGAGCCATATGGTTGTTAAACAACATTAAAGAGTAACTAGGCAGGGGACAGACTGGGGACAGACTGGGGATTGTCGCTCATCTTTCTATTTTCATCCACACCTCACCTCTCATGCATGCACGGTTCACCGCCTGAAGAAACGAAACAGAGCTGAACGAAGAAAGTATTCATCATATGCACGTACTTATTTATCTAAACAGCAGAAAGCATTACTTCAACTCGATCCTCCCCCTTTACTCCAATGCTCTGCTCGCATCCGCTTTCCAACTCAACTTCGGCTACGAAGTCAAGATAGGCAACATGGCGAGCGAGACAGTCCATATTAAAAACAATGCTCATGTCCATTCATTCCAAGCCAATACCTAGTAAGCCCGTAACGCCCTAGTCATTCAAACATTTCAATGCGGGAGAGCTCGCCGGTGAGAAGAAACGCCAGCATAACAGCCAAGGGGCCTTGCGAAGATTGATCTTCGAGAAATGCGGAGGGAGAAGTAGGATCCATCGTCTCTGCTGAGGAAAATTCATATACCTCGTTGATACCAAACGCCAAACGCATATGCAGGGAACCGTGACTTGGTCGTCATAGTCATCATCGTGAAAATAGCTGGTCCGTGGGGCTTAATTATCATTGAACATGCCATTAAAAACGCAACATCCAGCAGCCGTTAACGCTCAATTCGGTAACAGCAAGGACTCGGTCTCCTATATCGCGGATACCTTGCGTGCCGTCGAGCTAACATTTGAGCTGGCGTTGATACTACCAACCCGGCCGCTCGTCTTGCGTACACCCGCCGAGTCCTTGTTGCGGCCGGATTCGGCAGTTCGCTTGCTGCTCCTGACCTTGGTCAATATGCCAGAAGCGCTCGCCGACCGCGTTGGCGAGCCCGTGACATGGTCCACGATGGTCTTTGGCCGAGCACTGCCAATGTTCTCAGCGTCATTAGATGCATCATTGTCTATGACCTTGTATATTGTTGTTGTCGTGCTTTGGCTTACTGATCTCGTCTTTTCACTGCGGCTTGGCGAGTGTGATGTCTTGCGATGGGTTCGCATGCGTAAGAGCAATTCCTCTTCGGATTCAGCATCGTTAGACCGTCTATGGACGGAGATGACCTCCGTGTCTTTCTCAACCCCTTCGCGTTCCTCCTCGACCGGGGATGGTTGAACCGCGTTGCGCTGGTAAGGATGGTGTCGGTCTATGCGACTCGTCTTCCGAGGCTGACCTGGCGTCGGGGCCGGTAGGTAGTCCTCTTGCGCACCCGCATTACGCCTTTCACCGTCCATTTCGCCGAGAGGCGTACGGTTTGACGGGCTTCTGCTGGGAGGTGTAGATGCCTGTGCACTTCGGCTTAGAGTAGCCTTCTGCATTGCTCGGATGGGCGTGCTAGGTGCCTGGTTCGCCGCCGCGAGCTCCTTTCTTAACCTCCTCTCTAGTCTTTCCTCAATCCACCACTCGCGGAAAACCCCTTGGTTGATGTGCAACCAGTGCTGTTGAGGACCAACAACCATACCAGGGCGCATAAAACGCATGAAGGAAATGACCTCATTTGCTGTGAAACCGTGGCGGTAGATTAAGTACGCTCCAATCAAGCATCCAGTTCTCCCAAGACCGGCTTTGCAGTGAACAGCGATACCCTTTTTCCGAACAGTAATCGTCTCGTGCGCAAGCTTGATGAACTTTCGAACGGTGCTTAAGGGGGGGCAAGTACCATCTTCAAAAATCATATCGAGATGTTGGATCCCTAACGCCTCAAAGTAAGATGGGGAGTATAGAGGCGAGTTAAGTCGGACAACTAGGCCGATGCTGCGCTCGGAAAAGTGGCTTAGTACGTTCTTGAATGACTGAGGGAGGCTTGGGTGAGAATCGACGGCGGAGAGCGTCTTGGGAAGAGTATCATATAATTCTGACGATTCCGTGATGCGTGCCACCGGGCTATGCTGCGGAGATGCGAATGCCAGGAAATGAGGCGTGATCCAGTTGAAATCGCCGTGTTCAACGCGTTCAAACTTTTCGTATTCGTCAAGATCGAAGTTGTCCAGGACACAGCAACCCTCCTCCTTGGCTTTCCAGACACCGTACACGATGTCTTGCACAGTAATACCATAATCCGCTTGGCTGTAACCAGCGTCGCGGAAAGGCATTAGAGGCGGATCAACCTGCGCAATCGGTGCCAGGGCCAAGTGAGGTGGCCAAGACTGAATCAAAACCATGTAGCAAGCCAGTAAACAAGCGGCATTGGCCCGGCCTATTCGAAATTGTCAGCAACAGTAAGAACTTATGTATATATGCGTGTGTGTGTAGGACTTACTCCTCGGGTCTGCACGGCTCCAAAACACAATAGGTCTATGCTGGTTTTCCTTTGCGCCAAGAACATCGTGAAAATGCAGGGCAAACCGGTATAAATGACCGATGTGAAGTGGGCCAAAATCGTGGTGGAAAGCGTTGTATAAGAGGCTGTCATCGACTGTAAAGTAATATGGGGGATGTCGGTCCGACTTAGACACGGCAGGCGAAGGCCCGTCGACAGCTCTTTGCGATCGTTTACTTGGCGAGCGAGTTTGGGGTTCGGAGTAGGGGAAGACGGTGTCGGCCGTAGGGGGATGGATGTAGGATGCTAGGTAAAGGCGGTCTGCGAATGTTAGTAATGTGACCGGAAATACTTCTGAATTAAGTAGCAATGAGGGATGTAAGGTATTTTGTGGGAAGCCAGGAGAGATGGGATTCCCCAGGTCGATCTGCGTCAGGCAGACGCTCAAGGAGTCAAAGGACATAACAAATGACTAGGACGATAACCAAGTAGGATAATACGAATAAGAGGTGGAAGCGGATAAGTTGATATGGGATATGCCAGAAGACATATACCAGAAGACTAGGCGAATATAACAAACAGCAAAAGGGGAAAATACCTGGAATATACTCAATGACCTGACCCGAGGGGGAGCTCCTCGAAGGCGGCATCTTGAATGCTGACGTTATCGCTGCTTCTGCTCTTTCTGCTGCACTTCCTTTGTTGTTTCCGGCTCAAGAGCTGGCTTTGATTACCCCGTCAAGTATAGACTCGGACGGGAAGACGGGAAGCTTCAATGGGTTTGCATAAATAAACGAATAAACGCAAGCCTGCAGGATTATAAATGTAGCGCTTGGAAATATATCAGTCGGCGGAAGAACCGTTTTAATGATATCGGTGAAGAAATGATGCTAATTTCGGATACGATAAACAAACAGTTCATGCACCGGTAACTGGTTCAATTATGTATGATGTGTATGGCGTGTCGGCAGCAAGTAGTAGTGAATGCAAGCAAGAAGAGTCAGGGAGTTGATAAGAAGGATGAAAGGATGAAGTTGAAGTAGACGATGTAAATGATTAACGGGTGTTTTTTCAAGAAAAGGATGTTTTTGTATGGTTTCGCTCTATTATTATTTGATTGTTGTTATGTTGGGGTAAGACTGGCTAAGACTGGCTAAGACTGGGCAAGAAAGCGACATGGGTCAAACTTCTGGCCCGTCGCATAGCGTCCTCATTTGACCTCTTACCATATTAGGTTAAGACCGTGACCTATGCCCCTGTCTGCCCTGTCGTGTTTACCGGTGAAGCCGTTGCTTAGCAACCGTATGGACCCATTGCATAGGTGGCTGAAACGCTGGCCTCATAAGCCGCAGCTGAATTCCAACGCTTCCAAGGTTTCTTATCATCCTACCAATCCTTATCTTATCGTGTTTTGTGGAACATTTCAACCTAAGAAGAAACCTGGTTTGCCTACCCCTCCTGCCCTCCCTGTGTTCCCCGCTACGGCTCACAACTGTAACCTTAGGTACCTACCCGCCTAAGGTAACTATTTCTATTTGCTTATTGCGCAATCAACATTCCAAGCTCCAAGCCTCTTAGCCATTAATCCACCCACCCCCGGACTCTATTCACCTGGGAAAAGGCATACGAGTAGTCACCATGGCCTCAATAGCAGAAATACAATATCCATGTGCACTGTATGTTAGCATATGCAGCCATAATCTACTAATAATTTAAGGCTAAGATTGCTTGTTAGGACGATCGAGGTGCCATTCCCTACACCAAGACTCGCATCCATTGCCCTAAAGGCACTACAAGTCGACAAAGAGCTGTCGCCTTTGGTAAAGCGGACCTTCTCCCTTGACCAGTCAGATGAAGACACCATCAATGGGGACTCGGGCGGGAATATCTTACGAACCGAGTACAAAGCTACTACCAACAGGATGCTTCGCGTAGCCGTCAACTCTTTCATGGATAGTTTAAGCTTAGTGGTCGAAGTCATGCAAGAGCTCGACACGGATGTACTAGCCACGGAAGACACCAAAGCGTGAATGGACTTAGTGAAGGCATAGCCCTTGTCACGGCGGATGAGGGATGCTGTCCCGCAACTCTTAATTGGAATGTAAAACAAGACCAGGTGAGTATCATAGTGAATACAAGAAGCAATCTAGGGTATCATTATTAAGACATTTTCAGGGGTTTATACGATGATTCAGAGCACGTGGAGGTATTCTGTAAAGAATTATTTATTCATTGCAATACGGGGGGCTGTGCTACCTGCAACTCCTAACGCCTACCATTCCATCTTATGAGATGACTCTCAATATTCCATAACCAATTACCATGTACCTAACCCTTTAACCCCGCAACATCTATGTTTACTCGATGTCGACCTTGTGGATCTCAGTCCACTCCTTCTCAGTCTTGGGGATGGTAACGATGAGAATACCGTTCTCCATTTTAGCGGTGATGTTGAGACCGTCGATGTCCTCCTTCTCGTCACTTCCGGGAGGTGGTAGCTTGATGCTTCTCTCAAACATACCAACCTTCCTTTCGCTCGAAGACAAGGTCTGGAGGAACTCTTCATTGCCCGGACGGTATACAACCCCAGCAATGTTGATTTTCTCCCCGTCCCAATTCACTCCAATATCCTCCTTCAGCGCTCCTGGTAGTGACACATGGAGTACGTATGCTCCCTCGGTGTTGAAGACGTCGACAGGCGGGATGAATGCAACATCTTGGTGCTCATTCGATTCGCCAGAGTGACCACTGCGAGCTTGGTCCATGTACTCTCTAAAAGCCTCGGCGAAGGGATGAGCGGCAAAAGCGTGCATCAATGGACGGAAGTCCCATGGGCCGCTGTAGGTCGGTGCCGCATGCGGTCCGCGCCGGCCGCCACGTCCACATCGACCTCCTCTTCCTCGGTGAGAACCGAATGGGTGCGGATGACCGTGGTGGTTCGGAGCACCCGGCGGCGGCGGCGGGCCGTGGTGATGCGGGAATGCCCCGGGAGGCGGTGGAGGATGATGAGGGAAGACTCCAGGTGGCGGAGGGGGTGGAACATCGCCGGTGACTGACTCGTCTGGCGTATGCCTCAAGGTTTCGGGAGAACTCTCCGTCTCGGTGCCATCGTGATCTTCTTCCCTACCGGTCTCAGGTGCGTCTCGATATTGCTGGTGGCCGCCCCTGCCATGACTTCCGTGGTTGCCCCAGCGGCCCCAGCCGTGAGCCATCCAGGGGTTGAACTGGGTGGTGTCAAATGGGAATCCTTGGGGAAACTGATGGCCGAAGTTGGTATGGTCAATACCGACGCCGCCTCTCCCAGCCCCGTGCGGACCAAATGATTGCATGAAGTCCCAGAAGGGAGCTTGGTTATTGTTGTTGTTTTCCATTTTTGGATGAATACTTGTTGTTTAGATCTGTAATGATGAACTTGTTGTTTCTGAAGATGTTATGTCAAACTAGAGGACGTCCAGTCCAGTCCTTTTATACAAAGACATATCAAGGCTCCAGGTCGGAATACGTAACATACGACCTGTCATGGCGAATGTCAGACGCAGCCGAACTTGACTTGCGACTTACAAAACAGTCATGACTGTGTACGTAACCCAGGTTCGAACAGGCCGGAACACGCTGGAAATTGTAGCCTAGCTGAGGCATCTGGGACAGACGCAGCATCATTTTCGGTGGGTGCCACGCGTCCTACGCACCAATCCAGACAGTCGAGGAAGTATGGAGCATCATGATTGGCTCAATGGTCGAACCCTGATCCCTCTTTCAGATTAGCGTCCTATAGGGAGCGGGAGGCAAAAGACGTATCTCGGATGCGAAGAGGCAAGTTCGGCATCCGAACACTATGTAGAGGTAAGATATATTGAATCATATGTTTAAGAGTCACGATACGCTATGGATTAAAGCAGGCAGCCGGTGCATTCGTCGTTGTTCGCGGGTTGTTCGCGGCGCGTGCCGCGTCAGATTGTCGCCTTCAGGGAACTGCTTTCGCAACCGAAGGGCCCGCGACGGAGCCGAGCCGAACAAAGGCATTCTATTATTTCGAAGTTTTTCTACAAAGGTATTGTGGCGTTCGTAAGGCTGAAATTTGACTACTTCTTCTATAGTATATATAGTAACGGACGATGATATTAACAGCCTTAACGGTATGCTTCTACTTTTATTGCCTTATCATGTAATTACTACCAACATCACAGCCGGTAAACTCATAAATAATATGTCTGTATATAGAAATGCAGTTAACAACCTATATTGGCGGCGAGAAGCAAAAGCTTAGCTGATAATAATTATACCAAAATTCAACATGAAGTCGTAAACTATCCTTCTTATGAGATAGCAGTTCGCTTTTCCATGGCGGGGCGCCGCGGGAGCCCTCTTATTTTAAATATGCTTTTGACGGTTCCCACTTGACGGGAAGGATCGTCAATGTATGTATGTATGTACGATACAGCATGCATATCACAAGCATACAGGGGCACACCCAGCAAATAAAGCTGGATAATTTCAAAAGTTTGGTTCGATAGCCGCCTATGTACATTCTTTAGACTCTCTATCTTAAGGTAAGCTACCTACGGACCGTGTCACGGCTATGGGGGGATATTTCTCGTCAGGTGAAAATACTATGACATTTGAACAACGGTGAACAACGGTGAACAACGGGTATATCCATCATGCCATCGGATGACCCCTGTTACGCATTCTGAAAAGTGTCCAATAAACTTTACAACCATGGGCTTAATTTGACTATGGCACGTTAAGACGAACATCATCTGCACGCAGTAGGGAATAGAAGTGAATCAAGAGGCAGTGCGCAGCTGACCCACCATCTCTATTTACATTCTGTCCTATCATGGCTTTACAGAATAGATTCTTGCTCTGATAATCTAAGCGAATTATATGAGCTAGCCCCTTTAATGGTTAGTGAGCGTGTAGAATAACGTCAAGGGAAACCAGCAAGCCAGAACTAGACCGGTAGACTTCCGCTCTACATAGTATGAGAGAGAAGCCAGTATATGTTGCGACCTATGTATTGTACGGGCAGGTCTCATCTTGCATGGGGGCTGATTGGGCGCTTGGAAGTATTCTACTTGACCCGAATTCCCTATTTCTTAAGCGCCAACTTGTAATCCAACCAATCATCTGCCCTGTCTTCCAAGTTGCCAAGCTGGATGAGTCCACTGGACCAGACAAGGTGCTTCTCTCTTCCAAGAGGGGCACGCTCATATCCACACGGCCAGACGGTAGGTCGCATATCATAGACCTCTTCGAAGCCATCTTATCCTTCCCGTGAATTCGTTTCACCCGTTCATGCTTTGTACTGCGCGTATATTGTACCGCATTCTTTCTATTCCCCTTGGTCGAAAGCCGTCGGCCTTCAGTGAGCTTCACGACAGATCCAAAACCAATCATCGCTACCCCACCTCGTTTAAGCCATCGTCTAGACGTCGTTTTACGTCTGGCTGTCGCAAAGCGCCTATAAATAACTTTCATCTTCTTTCCCCCCCCCCTCCCCGTGCGTCATCCCGCGTATTCTGCCGGTGTACCTTTTTGCGCCTCGTTAGTTGGCTTGCGCTCCGAGTACAGGAGAATACGTGAAACAGGATGGATCGACACGGAAGACTCGAAGAGGAGATGTTCCTCAGTAAACCCGCTGAGGATTGCGACAGTCCTACCGTCGAGCCTCTGAGAATATTCAACCCCAAGAGTCCCAAGCCTAGTTCCGATAGATTCAGATATCCCGCCCCGGTATCTTCCCAGCCTACTTTTCCCCTGCCGCCGGGCGCCTCGAGCTCTGCTGCGCCTCTGCCGTACCCTGATGACGACGACCATCGATTTGGTCAACCTTCCCAGTCGAGTCGACCTCCATATCCTGCCGACGACCGCCGGCCCTCTCTCAATAAGATATACACGAGTCCTCCGGGCTCTTCACGTTCGGACTCCTTCAACGACACCACCCCGCGATTAGAAACAAGTCCTACCGAAAAAAGACCCGGTCTTGCTGAACGGCGGGGAACTGCTCCTAGACCTTTACCAGCGTCGCTTAGTCCGGCCAGCCCTCCAGGAGAGGATACCGGTCTTTTTGCAAAACCTCTCGGCAACCAAGCGAAACCAGCGAATATTACTACTACCACGTCCTTCCCTAACTATCATCAAAAGCCCTACTACCCTCCGCCTAGGGCGAGCTCCGCAGCTTTGAGCTCAAGCTCGAACAGCAATGCGCGGCCTCAAGCAGCTGAAGATAACCACCTCAAGATGCCAGACAGCGGCGTAAACCGGTTTGCGTCGACAGCTTCTACGTCAACCACAAGAGCGAGTCGAGGATCTCCACCCCCGCCGGAGACTCCTATCGTAGAACCAGGTACTATCCCCGGAGGAGGTATCGAGGCGAGATATGCGGCTGCTGGAATATCGGGAACCGCAACTCTTAACAGCCTTCAGAGTTCGGCGGCGGCTCAACGGCTGGCGCAATACGGACAGCATCCGGCTACGCAGCTGCCACCTCGTCCTTGGACGCCGACGGAGGCCCCCGATCAACAACCACATGGACCCCCTACCGTATACCAGGGAGCAAATCCCGTCACCAGTCCTACTGCTCCGACGTTTGGCGCGCAGGCAACACGGCCAGCGAACGCCACTAATACAGGCCCAAACGCAGCCCCGGCCTCTGGTTCGGCTTCGGGCTCGGGCTCGGGCTCGAATACAAATGGCGGGCCCGCACTTCAGATCAGCGTGCTAGAACAGGACTTCCAGAGAATGCAGATGTCGCCAAGTCCTCCTCCCGCATACTCCAGTATCAACCCTGGCGGTGGCGGAAGCTCTTCAGCATATCCTAACGAGAAGCAGCGGCCAGCCCAGCCGAGTTCGAGCTCATCGACTCCAGCCCAACCTACCCAAGCCACATCATCTCCGCCGCCCAAGAAGCAAGCAGAAGTAGCTGCTGCCGCCGCCGCTCTCGCGTCTCCGGCTTTACAACATCCCGGACATCCTGCTTTCGCGAACGATCCCAGACCGGAGCCGCAGCAAAACGGTCAACCAGCGCAGCAGACCGTTGTCACTCACACCCCCTCCCCGTTCCAAGGGCAAGGTCCTACTTCGCCGCCGCCGCTACCTGAGGGCTGGATCGCGCATCTCGACCAGAACTCGGGCCAGTATTATTACATCCATCTAGCTTCGCAAGCCACTCAGTGGGAGTTCCCGAAGGGTCCCAACCCTATCCACCACGAGGCACCACCTCTGTCCCCGACCGCATCCACATACGGCAATCCTCTCGGGTCGCCGATGTTCGGCAAGCAGAGCGCGATGGCCTCGCCTATGTTCCCGCCGCAGACACCCGGTTACGCCGAGAGCATCATGAGCGTCGCGACAGCCACGCCGACGGCGGCAGGCTTCACGGGACCGCCCCCCGGCGCCGGAGTAGACATGTACAAAGTCCAGCCGACGAACGGCGTCTACTTCGGCCCGTATCTCCGGTACACCAACATGGACGTCGAGAAGGGGATCTGGCACGGAAGCGTCCTCATCGTCACGGACGCTCCCCAGCCACCCACCATCCACATCCACCGCAGCGTCGACCTATCCCCGAACCCGCGACAGCTAGTGCCCCATACCATCTTCACGCACCAGAGGTGGCAGTTCTTCAAATACGACGTCGACCTGCAGATGGGCGACGGCGCGACGGAACGGTGGACGTACGCCGTGACGTCGCACCTGGGCTGCACGCGGTACGAATTCGTAGTGGCGGGCCGCAGCGAGACGAACTGGCGCTTCATAGCGCACTCGGGCAACGACTTCGCGGCGAGCACGTCGCAGGGCGAGCGCAGCAAGCTGGGCGGGCTGGGCTTCATGTGGAAGGACGTGCTGCAGAAGAACGTGGACTGCGGCGGCTTCCACGTGCAGCTCGGGCTCGGCGACCAGATCTACGGCGACAGGCTGTGGAAGGAAGTGCCCCTGCTGAAGCAGTGGCTGGCGCTGCCCGGCCGCGACAATAGGAAGAACGCCGCGTGGACGGCGCGCCACGAGGAGGACGTGTCCCACGCCTATTTCCACTTCTACACGAGCCACTTCGACCAGCCGTTCCTGAGGGAGGCGTTTGCGCAGATCCCGCATATCTGCCAGATCGACGATCATGACATGTAAGTCTTTTGTTGTTGTTGTTGTTGTTGTTGTTTTATATATAAATGCATAGCGCACAGAAAGATATATATATATATATATATGTGTGTGTGTGTGTGTGTGTGTGTGTGTGTGTGTGTGTGTGAGAGAGAGAGAGAAAGGGGAAGTGTGTATATATATATGTTTATGCTAACAACTACCCTCCCCCCCCCTAGATTCGACGGCTACGGCTCGTACCCCGATTACATGCAGAACTCGCAGATGTTCAAGAACATCGGCCGGATCGCCGTCGACATGTACCTGCTCTTCCAGCACCACACCACGCTCGAAGTGCTCCGGAACGTAAGCCACGACATGGATCTGTTCACGGTCACGGGCCAGGGCTGGCATTTCATCAAGTACCTCGGCCCGGCCGTGGTCGTAGCCGGCGTGGACCTGCGGTCGGAGCGCACGCAGACCCGCGTGCTCGCCGGCCCCACGTACCAGGGCTTGTTCCCCAAGATCGCCATGCTGCCGCCCAGCGTGCAGCACTGCCTGTGGATGCTGTCCGTGCCCATCGTCTACCCGCGCCTGGACACGGTAGAGAGCCTGGCAAACACGTTCGCGACGGGCAAGAAGGCGGTCAACACGACGTACAACGTGCTGGGCAAGGTGACGAGCTCGGTGGCGGGCATCGTCGGCGGCAAGGAGATGGTTGCGCAGGGCTTCAGCCAGGTCAAGAAGGCCGTGGGCAAGTCCGGTCTTATGGGCAATGTGGTCAACCAGTTCGGCGACTTGGACATCGGCGAGATCTTGAAGGATATGTGGACTCACGATAGCAAGGACCTCGAGCGGACGTATCTGATTCGCACGCTGCAGGGGATATCGCATCAGAAGGGCTTGCGTATGACCTTCTTGTCTGGAGGTACGGTTTTCTCCCAACCCCTTTTCTTTCTACCCTTTATATACATACCCAAGTACCTAATATGCTATCCGCAGACGTCAACGCCGCCGGCGCCGGCCTCGTCCACGACCCGACGCACCCCAGCGACCACAAGACCATGTACCAAATCATCACGTCGCCCATCGTCGCCGCGCCCGCCGCCCAGTACATCCTCAAGATGCTGCACAGCAACCGGACGCACTACGTCCCCGCCAACGGCCAGCGGTCCTCGCCCAACGACGTCAGCGACACCAAGGAGGACATGATGGAGATCTTCCACACGGACGCCAGCGGCGCGCCCCGCGAGCTCAAGAAGCTCATGGGCCGCCGCAATTACGTCGCCGTCGTGGCGTACGACCCGGATGCTGTCCCCGCGACCCCGTACGGGCCGAACCAGCCGCAGCTGGCGAATGGGGGGGTTAGCCGGTTGAGTCTCGCGGTGGATTTCGTGGTTCAGGGCGATGGCGCGTTTACGGCGCCGACGAAGTATGGGCCGGTTATTGTGCCGCATTTGGAGTTTGGGAGGTAAGGTTTGTTGTATGTGATGAGATGAGATGATATTATATCGAGGGAGAGTTGTTGTTATATGTGCTATGCATCGAGTTGGATTACGATGACATGAGTGAGGAGATATGTGAGCGTGCTAGAAGTCAAGAAAGCGGGAGCGAGAGAGCAAGCAAGCAAGCGAGCATGAATAATGTCACTGTATTGAGGAGATTCTGCGGACCGGGAAGTTGAGGTCTGATGCTTGACTTTTTGAATATATACCTGGTTAAGTAGGTTATGGAGATAGTCATGCCTGAATCAAATCAAAGTTAATCTAGGTCTTTTCATAAACGTGGTTCTAGGTCGTAGGATATTTGATGAATTGGCCAACTAGGTGCTAGAGTATAAGTCTTGGTCATCTTTATAATTGGAGGCATCTCTTATTGATTTATTGATTTATTTATTGGGCGTATTTTAGGGGTCGGGTTAGAAGGTATATACCTAGGTATTGGGGATTATATGTCCACGAGTTGCCTAAGCATTCTCTACCTCTTTGACTTTTCTTTTTTTTTGTTTTATCTCATTCATGTGCAAACGCATCATGGTCTAGCCAGATCTATCAGGCAGTTCTCAGTCATCATCTTCAGTCATCATCGTCGTAGGATTCCTCCTCCCTAGGTTCCCTAGGCCAAGTGTTAGATATCGAAGGTCTCCTTTATTTGCCTCATGCAGTCCTCGGGCCCGTCGACGGAGTGACCAATGGTGCGGGGGTCGGTATAGATCTCGTAGTCGTTGCCGCCCTTGCTGGTCTTGTCGCCAAAGAAGTGGATGTTGGTGTACTCGATGCCGCCGGGCTTCTTGGCCTCGTCCTCAAGGTGCTTCAAGCAGTACGTCTTGTCCCAACCCGTAGGGAAGACATCGAAAGAGATCTGGCCACCAATCGAGAACCTAGATTAATTTGGCAAGTTAGCACATGTTATTTTCTTCCCTCCCTTCCCTCCCTTCGTTCTGTTCTGTAATAGGGTTAAGATAGAAGGGTAGGTTAACTCACGTCAGACCCAAGTGCCCAAACTTCTCCCTCATCTTGCCAACCATAGTCTCTCGGATCTTGTGCTTCTCGTCGTATGCCTGGTAGTCGTCGCGTTCCTGAGTGCTAGCGTTACGGCCGATAGGGGAGATGTTGATCATGCCGTTGCGGAACTCGATAAAAGTACCGCGCTTGACGGGGATGTCGAGGTCGGCAATATAGTGCAGGGTCCAGTTGGCGAGCTCCTTGTAGTTGTCCTCGCCTAGCCACTTGATGAAGCTATTTGAGGGTAGTTCGGCACCCATCTTGTAGGCCGTTAGACCGTTCTCGCTGAAGCAGAAATCGAACATGGTGGTGACGGGGCGGTCAGCAGCGCCCAATTGCTCTTGCTGCTTGGGTAAGTTCGAACCTCCCACGAATCCAATGGCGACCTTCTGTCGTAGTCGCTCGAGCGTGCGAAGAACCTCGGGAGAAGCAGCACGACGCGCCGGCGTCAGCGTCTCGTCTACATCGAAGAGGGCGATTGTGTTCTTGATCGGGCGGTCCTCTAGGGGAGGATAAGAGGGGGTACCGGCGTCCATATTGGAATTTTTAGTTGGTCTTTTTCTTTTCCTTGGGCACAATTAGAGACTGGAGTTGACGAAGTGAGGAACACGAAGTCGGATTTTGAGTTCGGGACGCGTGTCTTTAATCTTGTAAAAGTGCGTAGCGTCTTCGTCTTCGTCTGCGTTGACAGCTGCGCCTCTTAATGGTTGATGGTAAGTAATTAAAGACTTGGACCCCTGAAATTGAGAAAATGGAGGGGGAGGGGTTGAGATGTACTTGGTATACTTTTGTACATAAACTTGTGTTAAAATGAAGGCGGTGGGCAGGGTCAGGGTCGGAAATAAGGGGGGGAAATGCACCAATTGAAGTTCAATACGTCCCACATGCTCCACACCAGCTCGACTACTCGGTACCTAGGTACCTTATGTAGTACATGTAACATGTACCGCACCTTGGGGGACAACAAGTACATCAGAGACGTACCGAAATAGGGGCTACACATATACATGACATCTTCATACTACAACTACCTAACTATTCAGTATCAACTCTACATACTAGTTACTACATATTCAAAGAACCTACCCTTTCAATAGACCTAGTGTATTTTGAATGTCTCAATTTCCAGCTCGCCTCTTTTGATCATCTCAGCAGGCTTTTCATCTGATAACCCTACAATAAAGCGTGCTCCCATGTGTACCAAAGGTGAATCTTCCTTCTCTGATAAATCATCCTTCCTCAGGAGAATTGGAGATGGAGCTCCATCGATGAGGCAAACTGCATCTCCAGGTTTTAGACCATCCGGTCCAATCCCTAATCTACCACCATAAGTTTGGAAAAGAGACATGTATATACTCAGGCATGCTCGGGTCAGTGGCAAAGGTCCCGAGCCCTGCTATGATTACTCTGTCAGATAGACAGATATATTCGGCAGACCCGGGTTGCGGCGGCAGATGTGTTATTAGGGAAACCAAGAGATCCCCCATCACAAGGCGGTCCACCACCAACTTATCTCTGGATCTTCAAGCCACGATAATACTGAACTCGTGTTTCGGTAGATGGTCCCCATGAGCGTTACTTGGTGGCTACGTTCAGTAGAGTCTTCCTGGTTGATACAAAGAGCGTCTACCCAGAAAAGCTGTATATGCTGTTGGTTTCCATCTCATGCGAGGTTGATTCGAATACAACCCAACAAGAAAAGCAACCAATGAAATGTAACCTAGTATGCACATATAATCAAAGCAAGCCAGCTCGGCCAAGCTAATTCAGTACTACCTATTATCGCGAATAGGATTACAACGTATGATGGTGTGCCAGCTACCAGTACACAGCACTGAAAGAGCATACCTCGGTGAATCTAACAGACCTTCGAGTAGTCTCCAAGCAGTACAATCCCAGACCCTCATGACGCCCGGGACTACCGTATGGTCCTCCTGTCAAAGCACGAATTAGAATCGGATAGGACTATTGTATTTGCCCCTTGTAGTAGAACATTCTAGCTATCCCACGAACACACACCACGCGGCTTCTAGGTTTCACACCTTACACATTGTTAGAGCCCTAATAGAAAGAATCCAGCGTTTATCGAGTAGCGTTACAGCGAGGCATTTAGTAGGATTCTTTGGTAACATTTACCTCCGTTGAACAGAGATGGTGAACCAACAAGTATTAGATAAAATCATAGTCTACCTGTTAAGTAAAATATGAGCGACTTAGCATTGCTTTCAAATAAAATCAACAGTCCCGCCAATTGGATATACTATAACGTAAAAACGTAACAATCCCGTCCCGCCATAATAATAAAGTCAAACCGAAACCTCTATGTCCGAACCTCAAACCCCTTACGCTATGTCCTGCCAGACTCCTGTCACTTCGATGACCAAGTTTACCACTGTGCTAATCGACCAAAGTCCGATTAGACCCCAGCCAATCTTTCTACTCATAATCCATCTGTTAATCGGTACGATAATTAGCAACGCGAACAGGGTGATAAGTAACGTTATGGCAGAGATCATCAGCGTCCCGTTGACCTGGATATGGTACGGTTTATAATGTATCGGCCTATCGGGGTGCTTTGCTTTCTTCTTATTTGCCGCATGTATTGTTTGGTACGCGCCTCCGAGTCCAATGCCGAGTAGGATGTTCAACAACGGACCGCCAAAACAGGCCGATCTATGAAATGTTAGCCGAATAAGCCCTGCCTTTAGTTCAGTTTAGGTATCGACATACAAGGCCATGACTGGGTATCCAAGCCGTGCGACAGTCACGTCTGCCACAAGATCCCCCACTGAGTTACCAACCGCGAAGATAGTAAGACCTAATATTGCTTCTGATATATCCAAGATGACACCGAATGCTTTCATTACGCCGACCACCTCTCCAGCTATTGTGGATATCCAGGCGATTGATATACAGAAACCTAAGAAACAGAATAAAAAGTGGTATTTAGGCCGGCGATCAGGCGACGTAGTCATAAGTATAATCCCAAGCAGAACTAGGGAACAAGCAAGTGAAACCAACAGGGCTTTTACGAGAGTTGCGACGGGTTGGTCAAGATCCTCGATCATATTCGCCCATACGACGAACACGCCGAATAATGGACCGGTAAAAACTTGGAGAATTAATAGCCAACGATTCCATCCTTGTTCATCATCCCCTAGTGTTGAGCTATCTTGTAAGAGTTCAGGGGCAGGCTTTGTGATTTGCACATTTGGCGGAGGGGGGGATGGTGCCACCTGGATTTGGTCTGGCCCCTGAGTATTATCCGGAGCAGTCACGGAGATGAGACTAGGTGAGTGGCTGCGACTAGAAGCTCTGGACCTCGCGCGTCGTCTATATCGTTGCCATTCCGTTTCGGGCTCAATAGAGCCGCCTGGCTCTGTGGATACTGATATTGCTGTACTTTCCAGATAACCTGACGCTGGTTGTTCTACAATGTTTTCTTCTGAGTCATCGTCTGTTGCCTCAGTCTCTACTACAGGCAACGTGATGACCAGCAGGAATATGCTCGGTACAGATATGATACTGACAAATTTATCCCAAATATTTTTACCCCTCCAATCTTGAAGAGTTGGGAAGAGAGTACCGACTATGACGTGTGGAGAGGGTAATATCCGGTAAGGCCACCACCTAATAGGCTTCAAATTTGCGTGTTCAACAAAGTTAAGAAAAGAAGGGCTTCGTTCTTGGGCAGCAGGTGGAAGTATGAGATGCGGAGGCTGTTGAGAAGGCTCTGAAAAAACGAGTGGTGATTCCGCAAATACCGGAAACGGAGATAATGATGGTGAGGACCTTTCGCTGCCATGCGGGCTTGGGATGCGAAGGTGATGCAACTGTGGGGGGAGATTCGGTGACATATCCTCCGGGCCAGAATTATCTGTGTGGAGGCCACCGAATTGATCATTGGGTGGGGGGGCCAACTTCCCCCCTATGGTACGTGGGCTGGGAGTTCTACCTCTATCCTCAAACGATTTTCGAGGTGCAAGGTCAGCATCAAGAGCAATTGGTAGGGCGCCGGACGAATGCGCTCGGTTCCTGGCCGCAACAAAAGCATCATCTATGTTTTGGATAGTTTGTGTGCTCTTGGCTCCTTGAACGACCGCATGTCCTGTCCCTAGAAGATCGGCAGAAGAACTTCGGGTGTGGTATAATGGCCGCATCCGAACGTTTCCTTCCTCCTGTAGCGATGATAATACTGACCTGAACTCAAGCACACCAACCAAACTAGGCCGAATTGGAGTTATGGTCGTGGTATTGCTTCTCCTTCCGCGCGGGCGATTCACACGCATGCTGCTTGCCATCTCCGCAGCGACATGGCTGCGATCAGTATCGTCATCGTCGTCAGGTGCACCAACCTCGATCCTGGGCCCTCGTTCCAGCATATCAACGTCGGTAATGCTGGACCCGCTCCTCTCCGAGGAACGACGTTCTATGGGCCGTGCGTCTTCATCGTCCGGATCGTCCCTATAAGGTTCCAACTCATCATTGCTACGTTCGCTTGCCGGTGCGTAATAGTGACTGCGAGCTAGAGCCTCCTTAAGTCGTCGTGCTCGTCTCCTTTTAGAAACCGCGTGCCAGCCAACAACGACGATGACGTAGAAAATGTAGAAAGCAATCATGGTACTGCATTCCCATAGATGGAGGTTTCCATCGGCTAGGAATCCCATGGCAAAACCGACAGCTGCTATAAAAAAACATATATCTCGCACAAATGTTTTTCTGCTGACTTTGAACTCGCGCACTAAGGCCATAGAACCGGCCACGACGGATGTAATAAAGCCTGCGGCACCGATCAGCTCTCCGACGGCCATGCTACCACTGTTGGAGCTCATGGCGGCGAAGGTGCTAAACACATCTGGAGAGCCATTTCCAAAGGCCAAGAAAGTGACACCCGCAAGACTTTCACTTAGGCCAAGGATGGTGGCAATGGTGCTGAGATTGACGCTGAAAAAGTCACTCGCAGCTATCCCGATGGTGGTGAATAACAGACCTAGCCAGAGGGCCAATACGATAAAGGCAAGAGGCTGTGCACGTTCAAGGTCGCAATAATAGAAGGTTAAATACTCTATGAGACCTGCTTCGTCACCGTGACAATTGCGCCTTACAAAGGCACACTTATCTTCGGCGTAGTGGACTAGACGACAATCTTCGCTAGATCGCGGGGACAAAGTTGGTTGCTGGTCTGACGACACTGCTGGTCCCCGGACAAACAGGCTATATGTGGCGATGAGAGTGATGATAAACAGAGTGGTATAGAATGGGCGGGAAGTAAATCCCTTCCTCCCACGCACAGCGGTATACATGTTTAAGTTACCCCTGCTGGCTGTGCCGAACTGCCATCGCCGGAAGGGCGCATATATGCTTATAGGAAACGAATTGGTAATTGGTAATTGGTAATTGGCGAACTTGATAGGAGAATAGGTTGTTGTAAAGGAGTCGATTTTGACTTGAGAAAGGGGAAAACGTAAGATGGAATGAAAGGGAGGGGGGGGGGAAGAAGGAAATAACTTGGTTACAGGAATTATTGTAGGAGCGGCAATCGAGTATCGAACGGTACCAAGGCCATGATTAAATGTGGTGAATATTTCTTTTTACTTAAGATAGAAGGCCAACGAATTACGCGATAGATACGCGATAGATACTCCAGTGGTACGTCGGGTATGTTCTAGGTATTGACGTGGACGTCGAAACCACGCCTGATGATGACTTGTAGCCTTGGCTAATGCATCAGTACCGTTCCCAAACCACCGGGTTCAAGGGGGAGTCGTCTTGGTTGCCTCAAACGGAATACGTTGCACTGACGTCAAGTATGCTCAGTTGAATGGTAAGTGGACATGGGGTAAGTCGGTAGATATCCCAAGAAAATGGATATTTTGGATATTTTGGAAGGTTTAAACGGGCTCGAATATGTACGATCTTGGTTGAATTGGTTCTATTGCATTGGGGAGAAGTCCCAGTTAGGTAGCGTCTACGTAGTTGCCAAGATTGTCGGAGCTTTTCTTTTTTTGTTCTTAGGTTCTACCTTTTCTAGCTGCATGTGCTTAGTGGTGCTTAATGGATGAACTAGCCACATGCCGCGTGTTATCTACCTAGGTAGGTAGGTTAGGTACCTCACTAACGGGCACCAGTAGTGTGGCGTGTATTTGCGATACGGGATGGTGGCAGGCAGGCAGGCAGGCAGGCTGGCAGAGTGGAAGGAACCTTGGAGGCCTAACCTTACCTAAGCTGATCCAGCCCAATCTTTAGCAGCCGCCCAGCCGCCCAGCCGCCCAGCCGCCCAGCCGCCCAGACTGCCGGCCAAAGAAGTTAGCGCATCTCCGATTTGTTTACTTGAATGTTGCGCAAAGTTGAATCAAAAGTTGCCGGTCAACTCGGAAAACGCGAAACAGACTTTTGCGTGCGACCTGCATCTCAACCCGACCGAACAATTCGCATGTAGCCCCCCCCAATTTTACATTTTACATGTAATACAAAAACAACAACCAACTATGCCTCGAGTAGCTCATGTCCCTCGCGCCAGCGCAGGCAGCAGAACTACAACTGGTTCTTCCGGTTCGCCATTCAAATCCCCCTTAAAGTAAGTCGACTTAGTTGTTTATGCTGGTCGCTCAGCTGTCATGACCCCCCCTAGCAACCAAAATCTCACTGTCGAATTTTAGAATCCCTCTTAACGACGACGTCCAAGAGAAGAGGGGACGACTACACTCGCGAAGAGCCCTCCACGAAAAACAGATTAGCGAACTGCAGGCGGCTGCGTCTACGCCTGCGAAGAAAGTCGGTCACAGACTGGCTGGCGGTGAAAATGGCTCCCCCCATACGCCACGACGCGTTATGGATGACGACGATGATGTCTATGTAGCCGGTACCAACAGCGGCGTGACGCCCATGAAGCGTGTACCCATTCTAGCCAACTTTGAAGAATGGATGAAGATGGCTACTGATAACAAAATCAACGCTACGAACTCTTGGAACTTCGCACTTATCGATTACTTCCACGATATGTCTCTGCTGAAAGACGGAGACGGTGTTAACTTTCAAAGAGCAAGTTGCACCTTGGATGGTTGCGTCAAAATTTACACCAGCAGAGTCGACAGCGTAGCCACAGAGACTGGCAAGCTACTAAGCGGTTTAGCCGATAGTAATTCCAAGAAAAAGGATAGGGAAGGTGATGGCGAGGGCGAGGACAGCGAAGAAGAAGTAGACGAGAACGGCAATGTAGTCAAGAAGAAGTCGAAGAAGCGGGTAAGCTTCACATGTCAACATGCAACACGAATAACGAAGATATTCTAATACTTTCATAGCAACGGTCTTCTGAAGCGACCCTTGCACCATCCTTCGCTTCACTACAGCTAAAGAAATTCGAATTAGAATTTACGGTGGATCCGCTATTCAAGAAAGCTTCGGCGGATTTTGACGAAGGTGGTGCTAAAGGTCTCCTATTGAACCATCTCATGATTGACGGCCAGGGTCGTATCGTATTCGACAGTAGCGACGATGCCAACGACGCTTCTGCAGATGGTATTAAACCTCGAAGGAGAGAAGATGTCAACGCCGAGGACGAGGATGAAGAAGCGGAGGAAGAGCAGGAAGCTACTATCACACAACAGCAACCAGCTCAAGAAGAGGAAGACGTAGAAATTGATATTGGCGCCCTCGCCGCCAAGTTCTTTCCCGACCTCGCCAGATTAGATGAGCAAGATATATGCCCGTCACTTAAAACCTTTGAGCTTGGTAACCCATCAGGTTCTCTGGATATCCCATTCCTACGTGCTCTAGAAGAAGACGAAGACGAGGATGAAAGCGGAAGTGGCGGTGTCGGCAACAAGTCTGGGATGTTTATTGACGATGATAATCTCGCCGGGTTTGACGATATGACAGCTATGGGTGGCTTTGATGTCGCATTCGGGGAGGGTGGTGAAGCCTGGGCACGAGAAGCTGCGCTGGAACCCCAGATGCGACCCTACAAAGTTGGAACCGATGACGGAATGGCTGGGGGGGATGGTGTTGACGGTATCGACGAGGAGAATGGTGACTACGTTGTGTCTATGAACCATGCTAAGAGCGTCGATAAGATGCACGAAGATATCTTAGGTTACTTCGACCAAGCTCTCCAGAAGAATTGGGCCGGCCCGGAGCACTGGAGAATAAGGAAGATCAAGGACGCAAATAAGCCCGAGACGAGCACCCGCCAGCGAAAGGAGAAGGAACCTTTCGAGATAGACTTCGCGTCCTCCTTGGATCAAAAAGTGGCCGAAACCATCTTTACCCAGGCGGCAAGTAACTCTGCCATCTCCTTACCCAAGAAGGATTGGAAGTCGAAGACTCGGAATCTACTCCCCGACGACAAGCACTTCAACTCAACGCAGCTTCTTAATCTGTTCCTCAAACCCAAGGCTCGCCTGAGTCGTCGTAGCCGCTTTGGAAACAAGACGGCTTTGTTCGGAAACACCAAACAGCAGGATAAGAACGTCATCCCAGGTGACATGGACGAAGCCTTCTGGGCGCAAAGGGAGCCGATGCAGAATGCCGACCAGGATACGGTCCTTCCTGCGGGTGACTACGACGCTAACTTCTTCGATGACGAGATGCCGCTACCCGGTGGTGGCATGCTAGATGACGATGACGACGAGTTCGCCGATGCTAGGGATCACTTCTCGCCAGGCGCCGACGTCCCTGCCACACAGGACATCGGTATTACCGGTATGCTCGATAACGGCATGACGACCGGCGGGTTCGGAACGCAGCTAGTCACATCCACGCGTCGGTTAAGGCCGGAATACGTGCAATATGCTCGCGTAGCAAAGAAAGTAGACGTGCGCCGGTTGAAGGAGGAACTTTGGAAGGGCTTGGGACTGCCAGATGTAGAGGAGGTAAGCTACCAGAATGAAATTTACTCCTTTAAATCAAGTTTTCATAAATTAGTATCAGACTAATCTAACCCACCACTACAGGAAAGTAACAACACCGGACTTCCTACTCCAGCAAAGGACCCCGAGAGGATCAAAAAGGGAGAGGGAGAGACACTCAAGTTTACAGAGGTCATGAACGACCTCCAGTCCGTGTATCCCAGGTCGGTCATGGATGATATCTCGACTAGTTTCTGCTTCATCTGCCTTCTGCATCTAGCCAACGAAAAGGGCCTCGTCATCGAGAACACACCCGAGCTTCTAGAGCTCGAGATCAAGAGGGATTGGTCCGCAGAAGTCACTGGCGAGGCCTGATAAGCACGTGTTGTATATGCGTTTACTATCGAACTTTTGGAATAGGAGGAAAGGAAGGGGAAAGAAGAAAAGAAAAAGAAATATCACCTGCCTAACGTACGCGCACGATGCGATGATTCAGATGAGATAGGTTGCAGGGCAGGACGGACATGTCAATGAGCAAAGCAGGCAAGCGATCGTTTTGTGATGGAATTGGCATGGAGGTGGCCATGACGGAAAAGCGGATCGTGGTCGGCGCACCACCTACTTTGTTATTGAGTTACGTACGAGATGATGAATGAGTAGTATTACATCAAGCACCTATGCAAATACTTTCGTCTCTATGTGCCTTTTAAATTGCCCATATTCAAGCGTGCAAATGTTTCGTCTAATACTATAACCAACCCACCCTGCGAATCGATTTAGCACAGTAAGAGTATAAGAGTTTTACCGAATGCACTACATTTGGGTATTCAAATCATGCGAAATGTACGTACTGAAGTTAAACACACCTTTATGCCATTTTGTCTTACTGGCACTTGAGGACATACCATATTATTCCGTCACTATCACTAATCATATTGGAACATGTTGATAAACAGTATATCTCGTTCTTATTCCCTTGCTGTGTATCCCCACAACGAAAGGATTACGGCCATCCTCCAGTTCTAATCGACTAAGCGAAGTAGTTATGCGAAGACAACCGTACAACGTACACAAAGCGACCGGTAGCAGCTTCCCAGATCGCAGGTTATCCGTCGGCCGTTGAACATTTCGCCCACAGCGAGAAATATAAACATAGTAAGGTATAGGATGAAACAAGACCGAGACACCTCAACGCCCGAATTTTTGTCATTTCTCTTTCGTAAGAGCGCCACCTGATAACAGTTCCCAAAAGGGAAAAAAAGAAAAAGAAACTCCTATATGTAAAGTCTTATAGCGACGATAATAAGTACTAGTAGTCACATCTAATCATGTAACTCGTATAAAACGTGGAAATCTTCCTTTCGAAACCAGCTGTGCCTCGAGATTTTCACAGGGATAGAAAATGGGTATTCAGCTAATTAACTTTGCAGTCTCGCAGTTGCCGCTCGTTAGAACCTCCAAGGATATGAAGAGGGAAAATAGCAAATCCTGGAGAACCCGAGTAGCGACTATTGATGGTCACCATTGAGTATCATGTCGTATTGCGATTTCCGAACGCTCGTTTCCATCCAAGTAATTTCAGTCATAAATGTCAAAATATCGTAAATACCATACTCCGTCAATCCTTAGTATGCAAATATGGTTAGTGCAGATGTCCACGCCAGGGAAAATAAGACAGGGCAACAGATTGCGCCCGTTTTCCCCCTTCCCCCCCTTTTTATCGTCGATCGACGATCTCCCGTGCCTTGAGCAAGGCACTAATACCGTCAAGACCAGTATCGCTTAGGCTACCCAACTTCGAAGTAGCAGTTAACTTTGGTTCGACCGGCGTACCAAAACCGGCATCTTTCTGAAAGCCTAGTGTTGAATATTTTGGAATAGTATGGCCTGGAAATCCTAGATAGTGTCAGTTATCAAGTTCAACTTTCCAAGATCCACTAGCGTACCTTTATCATGATCGATACCATTACTGCTTGATTGGTCGCCTAATGGACGACCAGATTGTGGTTGAATTATCGGTAGCTGCGATTGTGGGGCCGGTGGAGGTAGACGTGAAGGATAGGCTGGCTCCGGCTTGGATGATAATAGAGCGTGTATCGGCAGTGATGCATCGCTAGGAGTTCTCGGGATATTGTAGGAATTGAGCGAGCTTATACTACCTGTTGAAGACTGCTCGGTTTTCAAAGATGGCGGTCGCGACATTGAACTTGATCCGGATCTCGAAATACGGCCGGATATATTGTTTAGACCATGACTTGAGACGGAGCCAGATAAAACATTATCGGGGGAATGTACCAAGGTTCCTTGAATACCTCTCGGGTCGAACCAAGAAACCGGCGCACCGGATGGTTCTCCATAAATCCGTTGACCGTCGGCCCATCCGGATCGACGGCCTGAATGGTGAGAAGAGTTGTCACGGGAAGTGGGGCTAGATAATCCACGCGACCGCCCGCTACTCGGTTCGTCAAACGAGAGTGTTCTAGGCGAATGTAACTCGTCCCCGTGGTGTATGCTGCTCAGGCCAGGAGAGAAGCTACTATCGACAGTTGATGTTGAAGAACCTAGCCTCTGTTGGCGTGTAGGAGGCGGCTCGCTGCCGGGTTGGCTGTCAGAGCCACTGACTGTTCCACTGGTCGTGCCACTTGCCCCGGCCGAACCACCGCTGGTACTACTACCACGAATACTATCAGAGTCTAACTTTAGACGTTTGGAAACGTCTTTTTCTTTTCAATTTATTAGCACAATTTTCTCAGACGATACTATTGGATGTGTTGGTATTACCTTGTAATTGGGTCGCTTGTCTTTTACGGAATTCATGCAAGTAGTCGTAGTACTTTCTATACTCGGTTGTTTTTTTATACTCTGCTAGCTCACGGTTGTATCTCTCCTTGGCCTCATGTGCCTGTCTTTCAAACGGCTCTTTTTCGTCGCGGTTCAGATTTTGCCAATTTTCACCGACTAATTTAGCGATCTCCGTGAAGGTCAAGTTTTGCCCCTTCAGATCTTCTCGCATTTCTGTAGTTTGTCAGCAGATGGTTCCAATGGCGGGCACCAATAAAATAAAACTTACTATTCGAAAATAATACATACGCCGATGGGGGGCGCTCCGGTGCATTTTCATCTGGCTATTACAATGTCAGACCCGCGTCGCATACCAATACGGAACGGAACGAAATAAATATTGCAGTCGCCCAACCGCAGACACAAAGTATCGGATTATAAAGAACAGCACGAACCTTGGGATGGCGTCTGTATTTGCGCTTCGCGACGGCTGTCCCGTCTGGTTTTTCCAACTTGACAGATTCCGTCCGGTTCGAATCGATCCTGGCATCTTCAATACTCGTGCATGTAGGCGACACTAAGGATGCTTCTGGCGCAACACCACGATAATTCGCTATACGACGCTGGAGTTTCTTTAGAGGGGTTAGTACACCGTATCTGGTAGATATTTATCTGAGTGGGCGCCTTACTCTTCGATGGCCGAGCTTAACGCCAAGTGCGTCTCTGAATGCAACCATCGTCAGCGATTGTCCGAAATAGGTCAGAACACGGGACTTACAGGTCAGACTCGGTGATATCGAGAATAGTATCCCAAGAATCGAAGCCCTGGTCGATGAAGGCATCGAGATACTGAGTAATGCCTAGCTCGCCGAAAATCACTTCGAGGGAATTCATATAGCTGATTTTGGCCGCGTCTCTGCGGATTAAACGCTGAAAGTTTCAATTCAACATCGGGATTTCCGATTACCCAGTACGTGACGATTACGACGACGCAGCTCCCAAGTCCTATTATAGTTCGTCGAGCAGACTTTGGAAGAATTCGGCGTGGGGGTTTCTTTTTCTTCGCTAACGGTTGAAAGTATTTGAAGACGACTCAACCTCTTCCACCACACCTCGATATTTCACAGAGAAGTGAGTCGTACTTCCTCACCGAGATAACTGGTCTAATAACCACCCTGCTGCTGGAACAGCGTCGAGGTTGCTTATTCTTCCAGGGGTAGGCCGTCGAAGCTACGTAAAGACGAGGATGCGCCGTGGGTTCGATGCGAAAGTCCAGATGTGTGGGGCGTGGGGTCTAGAATTACAAGAAGAGTGGAATGCCGAGATACCTAGTTAATGAGAAGCTCTGCTGGAGTGCTAGAGGAGAGAGAGAGAGAAAGAGAGAGAGAGAGGGTATGTGTGTGAGATCTCTCGAGTGTGTAAGACAAGAAGATATGGATACGGGATAGAATGCACATGTGCTGTGTGGTATGGTGCGGATAGCGGGTTGCGGGTTGCGGGTTGTGGTTTGCGGTTTGCGGTTTGCGAATAATCGGCTATGCTGTTTATGTTGTGTGGCATTAAAGGATCGATGATCGGATTTGTCTGTTTGCCCCGTAATGGTCAATGGCAATGTTTAGGGGAAATGTGGGAGATTAGCATTCTGGATCCCGGGCTGTTGTGATGATATACGATCCCTCTGCATTTTCCAGATCTCGATGAGTAGCGCAATCGAGGGGAATCGATAGGAATCGAACAACTTTGACGTGTGACAGCAAAAGGGAGAGTCAGAAAATAAACGGCTGCGGCAAAGGTCCCAAAAAGACCCAAGGACCCAGAAAAGCTAGTGCACCTTTGGAAGGGGAAAAATAGAAACTCACCACTCGCCTACAGGACTAGCTTCCCGTCCGTTTCTTTCTGATGGCCAGCGGGCTGGCGGGAGAGTCCTGGAAACATGCAAGCTCGAAAAATGGGCTGATGGAAAATAAAATAATAAGTTGACCGGCCGACACACGGTACCTGGCTATATGTATCTATCGAGGTATGCTGTCACGCTCATAGCCCCCTCGGACCTGGGCGAGACTGTTAGACTGTTAGACTGTTCAAGCTCGTTCAGGAACGTGACTATTTCCTAGAAGATCACAACCCGTCTTGTCCCAAAGACCCATAAATGAAATGCAATGTTTAGAATCGAGCTCATGCAGCCTAGTCAGGGCTAACAGGGCTAACGGGGTTAAAAGCTTAGTAGCTCGGTGGATGTACGTTTGCCAACTCAAAAAGGGATACCCGTCTCTTCGGGGGTCCAACTTTTCGATCTTCGCGAAAAAAAAAAAAAAAAAAGAGCTTTGTGTGCGAAAAATAACAGAGAAGAAGCCCGGTGGCCTTACACCCCCCCAAGCCCGTAGATGGTGCCGGTCATGGTCATGGGGAATGGAGCAACGAATGTCACGACAAGAAGGCCGAGGGAATATGTAAAAGACGACAGGTTACAAAGCTAAGAGGAGATCGAGATCGCTGGCCAGAACTTCGGACGAATCAGTGGGCTGCTTCACCTCGTGTCTCCCTGCTAGGATGTTCTGGATGCGTGTGTCTGTCCCCGAGTCGCCGCCATCTTTCCTCGCGACGTATCTTTTGACGTCGTGTCGATGTAGCGCCATGAGAGCCGCTTGATCTCTCCTTTGACGAGTCACAGTCTGATGTCTGTCTGCTCATATATCTTGTCATATTCTCCCATATCCTACCATTAAGGAAGGCGTCAAAGTTCCTAAACGGGTCTGGTCTCTGTTACAGTTATCTAAAGGTTCGGTGGTGACGACCTAAAGCTGACGAAGCAACGAAGACACTCTTGTCAGGTACATCTCATCTAGGCTTGAACCGAAGTAGGTATCGGGGTGATCGGGGTGTCGGACCACCAGCCAGTGTTGAGAGAGAAGCGGGAGCCAAGAGGGCTGCCGACAGCCTACCAATGAGATGAGAGTATATGGGAAGAGCGCAGGGTGCCGCAATCGATTTTTCAGCCCGGGATCGAAAGTCTTGGCACCTCTTGAGCTAACGAACCCCAGACTCCTGGAGTTCATCAGTCGGTTTTTTTTTTTTTTTGGTTTTTTTTTCCCTATTACTACAATCAATCAATCACTCTTAATGCTATGTATCGGCGATTGCTTTACCCTGCCCCCTCTCGCACCCCACTAGAGCTAAATACGTAGGGGAAAAGGTCATCTTAGTCCCGGCATTGTGGTATTCAAAGCGACGATCAAGATGGTAAAGGGTATATTAAAGGCCGTGAGGTAACATCGGCTGCCAAAGGCCAGGTTCGAGATTTGGATTACAGACATAAATAACTTAATAACAACGAGAACGCCCATGATAAGATATCATATTGGTCGTCATTGTGGGACAAGATCGAGATTGGGAGGCTTCCATAGTTAAGACAGTACTTTGTCTACTGTTGGTGGTTTTGGTTTTGGTGGTTTTGGTGGTTTGTAATGGGTTGGCGAACGAAGCAAGTTGCATAAGTTGTAGGAACCCCCTCCACCAATAGACAGGTACCTATGTACATACGGAATATGGCTATTGATTGATCCTACGTGGACCTAAAGCAAATACGGGGAATCACCTGATTCTTGGTATGTACAACTATGCATGTAGGCCTTATGCTTTACATACATACATGTATGCAATAAGGCTGGTGTACATGATATGTATGAGTACCTAGGTACCTATGTTCAAGGGCATATAATACTAGGTCACGTTAGTCTTCTCTCTTGCCGCATAATACCGTGGGCAACGCAACTGCGCGGGCAATTGCGTGGGGCTAAGGTATTCTCGTACTCGGCAGTGTTACCATTTCCCATATTTTCCCATATTTTCCCATCAAAGTGGATGGGAATTCTTTTAACTGTTCTAACTTCTTCATCACGATTCCCAAATTGACGTACCCCAGGCTTGAATCTTCCGACCGGCCATCTGCATCCAACAAACCTAACGGCAGCTAGAACCTACGTCAATCAAAAATAGTAGTACAGTTACGGTATGTACATACATACATACATGCATTAGGTACATGTACATACATACATACATACATGTACATAGACACGTGGGCCTGCAAGGCTACATGTACATAGCCTAAGCTATGTACGTGAACATGAGACCCCTCGTTTCTTTGGTATCGTCAATCCCTGAATACTTTCTTCTTTCGCTGCATACGAAATGCAATCCAAAAAGATCACCAGGGCCAATAGAAGCCCGCACGCTAGAACGTTGAGCAACGGTTTAAAATGCCGAGATCCAACGATCTAGACCACGGAAAGGAAAGACAATCTTAACAATATTCGTTTTGACGCCGGGGTTATTTTCCAGCTGGAGAGAAGATCTACATTTGAGGCCAACGTTTGATTGTCGATCTTCTGTGAAATAAGACCAAGTTGGCATTATTAATCGTATCCGAAGTCGCATGCATCTTCTTTTCATATGTATACTACATGACCTACATATTCTAGTAGGTATACATCCGGGCATCCAGGCATCCTGACATCCTGACATTCAAGCATCAAGCATCAAGCATCAAGCATCAAGGTTCTCACGTGGAGAGGCTGACAAGTTGGTCCACCTATCAAGAAACCATTCGGATCGATCCGTCGTCTATCTAATCTTTATTCAGCATTTACTCAACATCTCCACCTCTTCTGTCACTTTATTCGGTGTGTCAGTGTGTTTACCTAGGTACATACTGTCCCAAACCAGATAATTCCATCTCGAGTGGCAACCCGAAAAAGCTTTCAACCGTTTTCTCCCCTAGGAGTGGCCAAGCCAATCACCTGTTCTTTCTCCAAGATCCACCCTTGAATCTTGGATCCGGGAATCACATCCGATCTTCACTGCTTTAACAGTACACACTCTATTACTTTACGAGATAAAGCTGGTAGAATAGCTTCACCATGTCCAAATCACCGTCGGAAAATAAGGATCCTTCCACATTCAAGGCCCAAGAGTCTAACGGAGGTTCAGCAAATGCATCCGCCTCTACTGCATCGACTCAAGCCGAGATGGTTAAGGTAAGTCGGCGGCACCCATCAAGAACATCGCTAAGCATCAGGCAATTCCTGGTCTAACAAACCTGTGTCGGATTTAGGCATTCCAGGACCTCACTAGGTACGTAACGCTTATTATTACAGCCTTATCGGTAATTCAAAAACGGCTTCTTGGGGAGATCGGCCGTCGATCTCGTCCAGGTCAGCTGGCCGTGTGTTCCCGAACTTGAGGTTCGGAATACATATAGCTGCTACATGGAAATGCCCAAATTCGCCTCGGATGTCCCATCATTTGCCATGCCAATCGCTTCTAGACCCCTAGTTTGCCCATCCTTTCGTCATGCTAAATTCCCTTCGTGCATACATACGCACGACTATTCCCCATTGCGCAGCCCCCCTTGTCTTTCTCACCCGATGTTCTAGATCCCCGCCTGGTTCCAAATCAGAGCCACTCACCCACTTTACACATCCGAAATCCCACCCGGGTGTAATCCTTACACGGGAAACCAAATTTACTCATGATTGCCCTGCTCTGCCTGCTGCCCATCAACACCACTTTCACCGTGGAAGTCCCCGGTTGATTAAACAAGTGGCTAGCTGCCTTACTTGCGCCTCCTCTTGCTCGTATCTAGGCGTGGTTAGCTTGGCGACTTGGCTCCACGTCGGATGCCTATGTAGTAAAGCTGCTTAGGTTGCCAGCCCTTTCTCGTTACAATACCAATGCCGATCTATCCCAAAAGTCTTCGGTTTCCTTTGTTTCAGCGTGGCATGTCCTTGTCCATAGCGTGTCGACATCTGATGACTGGCCCTTGCAATATTCTAGCTTGTTAAACGGGAAGGTCTACCTATAAAAAAAAAACAGCCTCGTCGAAAGACTAGACTGTTTTTAGTTATACATTAGGAGCATGTCGGGAGTCCGCATGCCACTTCTCAGTTTCCCTGATGAGGACGCAGTGCTAACGTATGCTTAAACAGGGGTGAGCAACAAGCCGCGGCTTTAGAAGCAAGTTTGACAAGCTTAGAGAGCAAGCTCGATGCCTTATTAGCATCTATTGAAGCTGGACCTGCCTCGCCTAATGCAAATAAGACGAAAGAGAACTCCGAAGAGCAGGGGCATAATGCAGAAAAATAACATGTTGCCCTCCTCCCTCCTCCTCGTCTATCGGACCACGTCGCGTTTAATCTAGCGGGGGCTTCCGCTGTGGTACAGGTGTCTATTGTGTATATGTAACGGGTTGGGGGAGTACATACATGTCGAGCAAGGCTATCTTCAGTCATCCATCGCCTAAGATCGCCTTAATTCGCCACAGTACCCATACCTACATACACCTACATATGTAGTGTATGTATATATGTATGTATACTCTCCACATGCAGTCCCATATAGATTATTCCAAGAGATCAGGGGAAGTTCTCTTGGAAGCTTTCCCCGCAGAAGCGCTGGTGGTGCAGATCCAGACCAGCCTAGTGTACATACATACATCACATAGCATAGAATGAAATAGATCAAAGAATTTATTGCATTAGCGGAAGCATCTATGTTATTTATCATACTGTGGCAAACACGATGCCACTATTAGAAAGGCGAAATGGTGTGGGCCGCGAGAATAGTCTAACAGAAACGGTAGCTACACTTGTACTTGGCGAATAAATAAGAACAATTTTTGAGGCTCAAGGTACTATGTAAGTGACGTAGAGGATAACCAAACGTTGTCTCGGAAGTAATTTTAAACATAATTTGAACATCTGACGTTGCTTGGTATGAAGGAATGATGTCGTTCAAGGGTGCTTGGACTAGGCCTCTTCTGCCTCTCACCATTTAACGATCCATCTGAACACGCGGGTCGCGTCTAAATCGCAAAACATGGACCACGCAGCCGATGTGAGACTCGATTAGCAGGTCCAAGCCTATATCGGTACATCGTAAACAGATGATGCTTTTTCGGCTGACCGAGACAACGTTGGGCTGATTTGTTCATGATTGGCAAAGAACCCACACCTAGGTTAGGACCTATGCTCAGGATTGAAGAGAGAAAAAAAAAAAAAAAAAAAAAAAGGAACCACGGAGGTGGTCCCACAATCACACGACTAGCCATATCGTAAATATGCGCCAGAATCGAATAGGAGGAGTCAACCGATGGGGCCTTCTCCACGGCCCTGCCAGGCTACGATGCAAAGTCTGCACTCTCCTCCATCGAGCCCGGCTGTTTTCTTCTGGATCGTTTACATATTCTAGACGCGTCCGTGGGGAGCGGTGCTCCGGGCGGAAGGAGTCATGTCTGCCCACTTGACCTGCGTAGAGACATACGAGGCAGACCCGTGGTGGTCTGCATAAGTACTACGTCACGGAACGCGATCATGATTGATCGGGTTAGTCCCCGGGACCTATAGGACGTTTGAAATTTGCACGGAGGCCGCTCCGGCGTGTTCACCGTGCCTTGCTATCAGCTCGGGGTATAGGTGGTAGCAATATTGGTTGAGTCGGCTGGGCGCTGGGAAACTACAGGGTAAAGGGAGGAAATTATTCCTGGGCGCTGTTCGGTCTACGAATGAGGAGTTTGGAGAGCGGTAGCGAGTTCGTATTGTTACGAACCACCTACTAACTCAACGTAAGACCCAAGCAATTTTGAGGACCAAGGAATAATCTTACAAGAAAGTACAACAAAATGAATAAACTGCCGTAAGGGGGGGAGTTGGGAGATGAGTGTATGTATTGCGAAGCCTCAAAACTATGACCCCGGTAATATGTATAGGTAGTCAGTCTTAGCACTACATATTGTTAGGGCAGCAAGGCTATATGTATCAATCATACATACCAAGTCTAAAGAATAAACCACCTCGGCTTACAAATACAATCCCATTATAACATCGATTTAGTTGCCAGTTTATTGAAATCGTTGACACGGTCACCGTAGCCGTCACCACTACAAGCGAACTAAAATATAAATATATTTCCCAGTAATAATACCCTCATATTCGTAAACTCAAGCTGCATAACATCACGGCACAATCGAGCTACTGTGCAGTAAAGAACTCCTTTCACTATTGAGACAATAGGTACCTCATGTAAGATGACGAGAACCCCCTGGACCGAAAAGGGGGCCCAAGAGCCATACTATTGCAATCCTAGTCTGCACGTATGACGCCTCGAAACACGACCTCCCAAGCCACTTCAATACATGTAATCTGGAGTGAACTGTTAATAACCATCATTCCTCTAGCTTTACACCAAGTACCCATTCGTGGCGGCGGTTAGGCTCGCCTTTCCTATTTATTAATTATACCTCTCTATCTCGCTGTTTAAATATTCCCTCTTCTAACTATTAAAATACAAACCTTCCCCTTTGCTTTATATATAATCGTGCATATAAGTTTCGAGACAAGATAAATGTTAAGCTTCGCGGCACATCTAAAGAGGTAGTTAACTAAATTACCTATAAATATCGGTTACTAGAGAAGCTTATCTGTGTACGGAATATAAATACGATGAATATGTTTCTTATTCAGCAGCGAGTATCTTAGTTACTTAATTACTACGCAAATCTAACTTAGATTCAACGTACGTAGGTTACCTATGTAGGTATTCAAGCTCAAAGGATTTATGCGTGATTATACATCCACATCAACGAGAGAAATGCTAGGCAAAATCACTGTCGTTTCACATAACTTTACACGTATTTGGAAGAGATGAAGAATCTTGGCTCGTCATTTCTTATCCATTAACGGACAACCCATCCCATTTGCGGACCAAGAGGCTAATCCTCCCTCTTTTCAACACGGACAAGCAATCAACGAACATAGGAAGCGCCAACTGAATTCCATGATACTGGGACCCCACAATATTTACTTCCGAATATGATATAAGCCATCTGCCAAGACTTCGACAATAGGAATCTAGCATGCCGCTACTTGTCCCATAAGCTTCATATTCCCCAAGGAGGCGAAACCCTCTCTTCGGTGGTCCGATATAGCCAAACGATTATATCAAGGGCCTCCTCATGACTAATATATTCGCAAACGACGCATGATTGATGTTCAAACATGAAGCCAAAATAACGCCCAATGAAACACCGACAATTGCAATATTTCCTCCCCAAAAGCGGCACATCCTGTTCACCCCCCCGTGCGTCGTTATAAAAAAAGCATAGACCCAAGAACGGACAACAACAGCAGCCGGGTTTTACACCACTCGTAATCAAGCTTGTGGTAACGAGAGTACAAGAAATTTATGTGGTGATGCCTGGAACTGATGGCATTCTCATAGGCCATGGGTATCGTGAGAATGATCAAGATTAATCCTGATTGAAACACGGACTCCGGATGTATGAATCGACACACCACTCGGAGCGAGTGATGCTCTTCACGCCTGACCGGCATTGGAAACTGATCAGCTACTATGAGCTCTTATTAGGAGCTGAACGGGACGACCGCATGTTAGTCATTTTGAACGCAAGGTTCAGAGAGGGTTGAACGTGCCCTATGCAGCGGATCGTCTTGATTCGCCGAAACGAGAGAGGGGCTCTCCATGGCTCCCATCAAGGGTTCATTCGATGTTATCGAACGGCCCTCGAGACCGGGCCTCAAGTGTGCTGAGCCATTCGGTTTGCCGTCGTTCTTTTGTTCAGCTTGGCGTGCCAGTTCCCGCTCCCGGTTCTTCTCGAGTAGAGCACCACCAAGTGTTGCGCACTTTAGAATGGTCTGTATCAATTGGTTTTGCTGTAGAGGTTTGGATAAGTATTCGTCCATCTGGGCCTGTATACACCTCTCCCGATCTCCCATCATAGCGTGTGCCGTTAATGCGATGATCGGTGTTCGGTGAGAACCAAGGCTGCGTTCGTACTCGCGGATCTTATTGGTAGCTTCGAAGCCTCCCTGTATACGATTAGCAATTTGTAATTGGTTTCGGAACACTGCGGCGGGTGTCAAACCATTATTGGCATCTGAACGTCCATTAGGATGACATCAAATTTCTTTTTCTTAACCGCCTCCACGGCTTCTAGGCCATTCCCAACCACGGTGACGGCGTGATGATATTTTTCGAGAATCTTTACAGCTAGTCGCTGGTTGACCCTGTTATCCTCAGCAAGTAGAATTTCGAACGATTTCGTATTGTCAGCTAGGGATGGTGTAGCACGGTTCTCCAAAGCAGGAACCATTCCGTTCCCTAGGTCGATTGGTTTACAAGGAGTGGTCATGTACGATGTAATACCTAGATCCAAACATGATTTCAGGTTGACGTGAACGACTGGTGCCAAAAGGACAATCGGGAGGTATTTGAAGTCTTCAACAGCCCTTAGCTTACGGGCGGTGTCAATAGACTCAACAATGATCACGTCGTATGGCGGATCGTCCGACCCAGGCACGTGAGGATTTCCTTCTGTGTTTACAACCACCGGTACAAGGCCAAGCCTCTGTAGCATGGTGACGATTTCTCTCCCATATTGGGTGCGTCCTTTGTCGATAAATAGCACTTGATGCCCCTTGTAAGGTTTCAGTTGCTTCTCGATGGACGCGACCTCGCCGTCTGCTAACTTGACCACGCAGGTGAAGTAGAACGAGCTGCCTTTCCCGAACTCACTCTTAACCCAGACATCACCGCCCATTAGATTAACCAATCTCTTTGAGATTGATAGACCCAAGCCGGTACCACCAAACTTACGAGTCATGGACCCGTCCGCCTGTTGGAAAGTATCGAAAATCAAGTCGAGCTTATCAGGCGGGATTCCTATACCCGTGTCCGAGACGACAAACTCGATTGCATACTCGCGGGGATCCTTTGGAGGGGCACCTTCGGCTTTTCGAATTGTTAAGCTCACTTCCCCATGCTCCGTGAACTTGATGGCGTTGCCCACCAGGTTCAGAATGATCTGTCGTAAACGGAAGGAATCACCGACCACATAATCAGGAACAGAACTGTCAACCCGGTATGTAAGGTCCAAGAACTTCTCGTTCGCCTTAACGGCCAACGTCTTCAAGGCATTGAAAACGGTGCCCCGTAGGGTATACGGGATTTCCTCTATTACCATTCTTCGAGCTTCAATCTTCGACAGATCCAATATGTCGTCAATGATAGTCAACAAACTGTTGGCAAGGTTGTTCACAATATTCAGCATTTCCCTCTGATATTGCGTGAGATCGGTATCGAGAGTTAATTGTGTCATTCCAATAATACCGTTCATGGGGGTTCGTATCTCGTGCGACATATTCGCGAGGAACTCCGACTTGGTCTTGTTGGCTTGCTCGGCCGCCTCTCTTGCCTGCGTATTTCTTTGGATACTGTCTCGAAGATTGTACACCATCTGGTTGATCTTCCGCTTGAGCTCGTCCATTTCGCCAGAAGCTTCCACGTCGACTAGCTTGGTGAAGTTTCCATCGGTAGCAGCGTTAGTAATATCGCCGAAAGCTCGCACCTGGGTGGTCTAAGTAGTATCATTAGCTTCACCGGACATAACACGTAATAGAGCGTAAAGGCAGAACTTACCAAGTTCGTTGCCATCGTGTTGACATCGGCAGTGATCTCTTTCCATCGTCCCTTTAGACCTCCCACATCTGCTTGGCCTCCCATCTTACCGTCTACGCCGACATCCTTTGCTACACGTTGTACTTCATTACAGAAGACTGACAGGCGGTCAACCATGTTATTAATGGTTTCCTTCAATACGAGTATCTCGCCCTTCGCTTGTACGTCGATCTTCTGGCTCATGTCGCCATCCGCGATAGCCTGGGTAACCGTGGATATACCTCGTACCTGAGAAGTCAAGTTCAGAGCCATGGTGTTGACATTTTCGGTGAGGTCTTTCCATTTTCCTTCTACATCGTCGACCCGAGCCTGACCACCTAAGGTTCCATCGGTTCCGACTTCTCTGGCAACCTTGCTGACTTCGAAGGCAAACTTGCCTAAGCGGTCCACCATGGAGTTTATCGTCAATTTTAATCTGAGCATTTCACCTTTGACTTCGACAGTGATCTTCTGGGATAGGTCTCCTGCTGCTACAGCCGTTGTAACCTTGGAAATCTCGCGCACCTGCGTTGTCAGATTCATAGCCATACCGTTGACATTGTCGGTGAGATCACGCCAGGTGCCTTCAACGTCATTGACCGTAGCCTGACCACCGAGACGGCCTTCGGTTCCGACCTCTCGGGCAATCTTGCTGACTTCGCGTGCAAATTGGGATAGTTGTTCAACCATAGAGTTGATAGTCGACTTGAGTTCAAAGATCTCGCCCCTGCATTCGGCTTGAATTTTTTGAGTGAGATCTCCTTTGGCAACAGCAGTAGTAACCTTTGCGATGTCGCGCACTTGGGTCGTAAGGTTATTTGCCATAGCGTTCACGTTTACCGTTAATTCGTTCCATATACCTTGAACACCCATTACATCGGCTTGGCCTCCTAATATACCCTCGGTGCCCACATCTCTGGCGACACGACTAACTTCGGATGCAAATGTACGCAGTTGCTCTACCATAGTATTGATGGTTTGCTGGAGCTGAAGAATTTCACCATTGGCCGGCCTCTCGATCTTCTTAGTCAGGTCACCGTGGGCAACAGCAGTTGTCACTGAAGCGATTTCTCGTACTGCCGATAATGATTAGCTATTATTATTCAACAAGATGTATTCGATTTTAAACGAACCTTGGTCGGTGAGATTTTGAGCCATAACGTTAACTACCCAAACGTCAGTAAATATTGGTGAATATTTCGCGAAGCACTTTACCATTGTCTGTCAGTTCTTTCCAAGTTCCGTCCACGCCTTCGATCATGGCCTGGCCGCCAAGTATGCCATCTGTGCCGACTTCACGTGCGACACGGGACACTTCGCTGGCGAAGACCTGGAGCTGATCCATCATAGTATTGATAGTCCGCTTGAAAGTGGTAATTTCCGGGTCCATTTCTACAGTATTCATTCGAACCTTCATAGTGAGATCACCTCGTGCGACGGCGCTAACAATAGCACCGATTTCACGGAGCGCCTTTTGGAAGGCCTCGTTAGCTTTTTGATGTTTCCATAACTCTCGTTCCAAGGCAGCGACCCGTTCCTTCTCAATGAGTTCAAGGGCCTTCTCTTGCAGTTGTTTTTGCTCTATAAGCTGAGCATTGACGTTCGTCAACTCTTGGCGTTGGTTGTCGAGTATCTTGGATTGGTCTATGACATGTTCATGAAGTCCCTCGAGATCTTCATTAGTGAGGGGAAGAACCTTCACGGCTCGTTCCTCACTGGCGCCGTTTCGGGCGGGAGGGAGGACTGCAAATCGAGAGCGACCTCCTGACGATTTGCCACCTAGGGGACTAGAATCATCACCGAAAAGAGATTCGGCAGTCTCGTTAGGCGTATCAGGAAAAACTGCACCATTCCCAATACTGGCCTTGGCCTCGAGTTGTTGGATCCTGACTACAAGGGCAGAGAGTTCACGCTCGAGAGTTTCCTTAGCATGGCTTTCGTGACCGGGTAACCTGATTTGGGAATTGGTGCCGATAGGAACAGGAGCGGAGTTGGCATCTTGGGGGTAAACGGCTAATGATTTAACAATGGCAGCAGTGGCCACCAGGGTTTCCTCGTCGGCCATCACCCTCATGATTATGGATTTAAGACGCTTAAATCGTCTTGAAATGCAGGCTGTCAATCGTAAATGGTAAGAGGAAAATGGGCGAGCCAGCGTTCGGTAGGCGCTGGATGAGCTTATGACGAACGCATGGAGCAGGACGATGCCGATGTCGATGATACAGCAAAAACACAAGAGCGGACCAGCGGGTTTAGAAGAGGGATCTATCTCGCGATTTGTCGCGGCGTTCCCGCCTTGACGGCGGTCGGAAGGGAGCGATTTGAACAACCGTGTTAAATTCAGATTGTTAAACAGTAAACCGTTTTTTAAGGACTATACAATTACAACGATAGTAATACTCGAGTGTAAAAAAGATGATAATAATAGGTGGTCGTATCGTCGTATAGGATAATTGTGTGACTTTGATGAGATGGATAAATCTGAAAGGGAAGTCCTCTTCTGTCGGAATAAGGAGAGACCCTGCTTGAAAGCGAGTGGGTGGAGAGACGAGGGCTCAGGCTGGGAGAGGAGGTGGTAGGTATGTACTGCAAAATGTATGTCAAGGTTAGGTAGTGTACACTATGTCAAGGGCCGCTACGTTAACCTAACTGGACAGGTGGGCCGTCTTTGACTTTTCCAATTAGAACCCTGGTTAAAAGAAGATGTAATAAGGGAAAGTGAAGATTTAGGCGGGGACGATGGGTCGGGGTGCTGAAGGATGAGAGGGCAAGAAGGGAAGAGGGCTGGGCTTATGGGCTGGCTTATGGGCCACACTACTTCGTACATACTACCTACCTATGTATGTGCTAGCCAGTCCTTGCCCTTTAGTCCTGCCCTTTTTTGACTGGTTGTTACTGGTCGCTAACGGTCGCTACCACCTGAGGCCTGAGGGAAGTACGGCTTAGGGAAGGAAATAGCCGGGTCGAATGGACCAGCCCACGCAGAAGAGACAAGAGACTTGGGAAGACTTGATGTAAGAGTTGGGTTAAGTTGTAACTGCACGTGTATTCGCACGTAAATTCGGGCACTAATGACCTATAATAAGGAATATGTCTTTTTTTCTTCTCTTTCCGTTTTTACATTTTTGTATTATAATTTTTGCCTTCGAAAATATAATTTTTTGTTATCTTTGTGACAGATATGTCTTCTTATTGTCCAAGTTTAGAAAGAAGGGTCCCTGATATCCACACCGTACTTATGTGGGTACCGAATAATAGGTACAATACTTTAAACCATAGGTAGGTCATACCAGGTATGTAGGTAGGTAGGTAGGTATACACTATGTAAGTACATAAAGAGGTACATACGAGGTAAGGTTGTGGCACTAACACTAAATAGGCTTTGCATGGACATGGACTTAACTGTATAAGCGCGATCTATAAATGTATGTACGGTATCTAGGCATCTATATTTTTAAGGGACATTTTTTAAATATTCTCGACATTACATAGATACGTTATCAGATCCAGGGTTGGGGGAGAAGCAGGCTGGCCTCTTGACCCTCCAAGCCGACCAGATAGATTTATCGCTTCCGCGTGGACAAGTTCAATACGAACTGTTGGGTTGGCCGCCTATGTCGCTATGTCGCTATGTGGGTAGGTACCTAATCACCTGCTATGTACATGTAAATAGTATTGTACAATACATATTTACCTGAGTACTTCTGCGCCTACCTCGCAATAGTACGGCACTTAGCGCCAAGGAAGGGCATGCCTTCTTGTGATACACAGATATACACACCGTATGTACCTTAAACTCTTTAGACTAAAACTCACGTTGTACGTACAAGCAAATCAAGACAAACCAAACAACTAAATCCCATATTACCTCCATGTAATAAGAATACATCTCGCATCTTGGAGGCAGATGCAGAACGTTTGCGGGAGGTAACGCCATTGCGATGCAACTAATATGGCTAGTTCAGGTAAGTATAATCATTTACAGAATAGGTAATTAAACGAAACGATACTTACCACTTTACCACTTACCTACCTAAGGTACATACCTAAACTAACAGGCATTCTACAACAGGTACCCAATTCCACATCCACGAGACTCGACAAGGTCTAAGCTTGCAAAGTCCGCGGGCGGCAGTAAACGTTCCACCCAGATGGGTTTACTATGTACCCTAACTCAGGTAGTGTACTCAACTTACAACTTACCTAGGTTAGATGCGAGACAGTCCGTCGCTCGGGGGGAAATCTAGTGAGGCTCGATACGGCAATGAGCTGACGCGCCCCGTCTTGTGTGCCGTATTCTTATCCAGCTCCTTCAACATGTCCTGTTGAATATGAAGTGATGCTTGCTAATGCATTATACTAACCTAGTAGATAGGTACCTAACCGTTACAAGTTCCTCAAAGCTGAGCAGCGACACTGACGTCATATGCTACTACATACCTAGGGTAGATGTTCGACCTATTCGACCTATTTTGGAATCCTAGAGACTCTTGTATTGTATCTATCGATCAATCATTTCTCACAAAAGCTTCATATGAGTTTCCATGGTTTCAACTCCTTCGAGCCTTGCCCTCGGCTCCGGCGTGGCAGCCACTGTCACTCAGTCACTCGGGCTTTGCAAGTTTGATACCTACATTAGTAGCGACAGCAGCTTAGGTATTCCCCCATTGGTCTGGACTGCCAAAAGCCGCATATTCTGTACCCAAGGTGGCTACTTGGCTTGCCTGCATGGTGCTTGCTGCTTGCATTCCTACATAGAGTTGGATGCTCCATACATTAGCTGCTCGCCCGTTGGTCACTCCGACTGGAATTTCTGCAATTCTGCAATTTTGCAATTCCACATGGGCAGTCAAAAACCATTGTCGTCCCGTCTGTCTGACCACACCGTATTCGATATCCGCTACCTAAAGTACATAATGATGTATTGGATATTGTGTACGGCTTCGTGGATTGGTTCTAAACCTTGCCGCACAACGAGCCGAGTCTCCACCGGATTGGTACGTGGACTTCGTGCGTTAGCAGATGGGCAAAATGGGTCAAGAGATCGAGGCCCATCTCCCCCTCTCCATCTGTCGGGAGTGGCTGGACCCTAGAAAGCTATTTTATTTGTGCGTTTCTCCTGTCGGCGTCGCTCTGCTGTACGGCATACAAACAAAATTCGTTACAAATCTGATGAGCAGCACATACTTTCCTGTTTCGCTAGACATGCTGTTTAGTTGTTTACCATACGAGACCCTGTAGCCTTGTGCTGCGGTTTTACAAGCACAAAGCTTACACTCGTTCATAGTGTATGTGGCAAACCAGACCCCCCGACTCTTTTCGATTAACTAGCCTTCTTTTGCCCTTTTCGCCCCAGCGATGATCAGCAAGGGGGTGGACGGATGGTGGGCACTTCACCACCATCTATTGGCAACTTATCGTCACCGGTATCTTGCGAAATGCTTCATTTAAAATTACCTTGAGTCGCATTTTTATTAAGCAGGTCAGCAACCGGCTAGGAAATCTGAAGGAAAACTCCCTATCGAGGCTGCAAGGTTGCTATTGCTTCCTCCCTCCCCTCTCCCCTACCCCCTCCCCCCCCATACCATCAGATAGATAGGATGTCGAGTGACGTCACAGCATCTGCACATCTGCATGTGCACCCAGCCCGACCCAACAGGGAATCATCCCAGGGTCTTTGCCCGCTCTGTGTCAGGTCTTGGCATTCGAAAGGTATGAGGCAATCAAATGCTATTCCATGCGCGAAACTGCCCCGATTTCCCTGACTTCGAAACGAATCAAATAGGAAACCCGGGTCATCGGCTCTTGATGACATGACAAATGGCCCGGATTCGTAGGGCTATTGGAGCGTAGCGCCGAGTTCGAGAAACGGAACACGCGAGAATCCAGGGATCACTGCGGACTGTCACCCGTATTTTCTCCTTTTTTTGGTTTCTTCTGGCCTTTTTTCTTCTTTATTTCTTTCCATGTATTGTCAATGTACATATGTGGAAAATGGAGCCCTGATATGCGATGGGTCGTTCGGTCGCCACGATTCTTATTCATAGGAACAACAAAAGACCCTTTCGTCTTCCGTATGTCAAAACCCCACAAAGGGACCGTCAAGCGCTTAGCTGCTGAAAGGAGTGGCCGAAGGTTTCCACTTAGGCTACAGACATTTCTCTTCATTTCACATTGGTCACCGTTCTATGTTTAGTCGTTCCAGATATCTCTCGCTGAGCGTGGAATAGCGCCCGGCTAGTGAGGTAGGTATTGTCTACGGGATGGAACTAAGGTGAGCTAAACAGGTTGATTCTCGCGGTCCCTCAGTTTCTCTCAGCTCCTCCTGTAAGGCCTGCTGGCCATACGCCCCGAGCACGCGAACAAAGTCGAGGTGAAATTACACACGCTAGCGTTTCGAACCGTGGATCTCGTTCGCCAATCCTCCAATGCTTGAAGCGGAAATATTTTGAGAACCACTCAGCACTAAGATCATGGTCAGATACTGCATACCATCTTATCATAGAAATGAAGGATAAATATTTGCACTTCGAGATCCAGGTTCGTCTATTCCTCGGCACATCTATATACTGACTATCAAACCAGTACCGAGGATCTCAGGATCTGTTAAGCACGCCGTTCACACCGTCTAACTATTAGTTTTGACATATTGCACTTGTAGTCTAGCCTATCGGTCCAAGTGAGGTTATCAAACAATCCGACACCGCTAGATCCAAAGACTCCGCCCGTACATACACTACACCACGCGGGACTTCTAAATTGCTTGCTATTTATGTATACGCGTACAACATTTTGACAGTTCCGACACGGCCGGTAGTGTAACTGAAAATGCCCGTGTCCTAGCCTCTCGATTCCTTATGAATCCTACGAAGCCGGGAGCTTTCCCGGCCGCGGCGGAATCTCGAATATACGGAAAATATACGGAGCATATCGCTGGGTTTCATCCTATCACCCAGCTGTAACTTGATTATCACATCCTTCTCGGAGCGTGGCCGTGACCGTGAAGAATACCTCAAATAACCAAGTCACGAAAACTAGGGGAGGGGGTGGGTTACGGAAAGCCGAGTAAGCACTTGACATGATAAAAGGAGGCGCGTAAGGCACAGATCTAAGTCAGACATAATACCTTTATTACCCATTCCTAACACAATTCAACAAAAAGGTCAAACTCAGTCCCGCGTATTATCATAATCAAGATAAATGTCGATGTTGATTAATATTGTATCAAATACTAACTAGGTGTTGCGGCTTGTTCGTAGTCTGGCCCAACACCACCAAGGGACCAAAAATGCCTGTTTTTCGGAAATCAAGCGCTGTGCGGGAATAAGATACGCCCACGGGGTACCGTCACATCCTCATCTGAACTGTCAAAATCTGTGTTTCAGCTTGAGAAGATCGGCCACGGACCCCCTTTCCCTTTCCCCCAATTTGTTAATCTGCAAATTCCTTGCGTGGGAATGCTAGGTACCCAACCCAACGCTCATCAGGACGCACGAGCGAATCTTAGGGCCTGGGGGACAGCAAGGGCGGGGAGAGGTGGATGCGAAAGTTTGGGAAATTCCGGGGTTGGACAATTATCACTAGTATTACTGCCCAAAAGGTAGTCCTTTTTTTTGTTGTTGTTTTAATAATCCCTTTCCCGATTATTTTGTTTTTTCAAAACATGGACCAGCGCAGAAGCACCGAGAGGGTGAAGATCGCCAACGGGCTCCCTCCCAACCCATCCACCCAGAAGTTTCAAAAATGCTCATGTGATGGACCTTGGTTTGCCCAACCATCGCACAAGAAGACAGGCTAGCTAGCTAGATATGTAGCTACACCGCGGCGGCGCGAGATGGAATGCCCTTGGAGAGCTAGCTGGTGGTTCCGCGCGGAACGTTGGAATAGTATTTCTTTTTGTGTCTCCGCGGTCTGGTAGTAAATCACTATGGGCAAAATTATAAAATGCTAGGTTACTGCTATTACTAGTTGGCAGGAGTAGGAAATCTGATTCAGTTACGTATTGGTGTTATACGTGCGTCGTATGTCACCGACGACATCGTACGTGAAAAAGAGCAAAATGAGCAGCATAATGGGCGCCAAGAAGGCGAGGAAAGAAAAAGGAAGCCATTCGCAGTGCCCCGTCCGCCTAGCTGACTGTTTGATAGGGTAAATGGTGATGGTGTCATATAATACCACATGGTGCTCTAGCCGATCGCTGCGATCTGCGCGAGCAGTCGACTGCCTTAATTACATGTCATATACGGGACGATCTTCACGGCCAGTCCGCCTTAAAACAGTAGCAACGCGCGATAAAAGATCGGTCGTAGTTGGGCGCAGGAACAGCAAAAACCTTCTGTGCTTCCCCAATATCATATCCCAAGAGCCAATGTGAGCCGCCTCGGATCACGTACCATTAATATCTACTTGCATTTGGTCCGAGTCTCGTGGGTAAGGACCTGACCTACGTGAGTATGACCCAAGCACGTCTCGTTGGACGGGGCGGATATGGATTCATCATTAATCGTCATTTCGTGTTACTTGGACAGCTTCATTCTGGTGTGCTAGCTACATTAGATTCTCGGCGGTTGCCGTCTGATAAATAAGAATAAGAAGAAAAACGCAAATCGAAGACACCGCTGAGGGTACCGACCGCTCCTGGTACGAAGCGAAATAAAAGACAATTCAAGCGCCCGTGAAACCTCCAAAGCTTGCTTCGTGAGGGTATCTAGTCGAATGCCAATGCCGCTGAACTTATTGCCTAATAACGCCTTTTACTCCCACTCGTCTGTAGATAAAGATAAAATATTATGAAGACGTATTTGAGGCGGTATCTTTAAAGTGATGGGAGAGAGGATTTGAATATTAAGCTCTCCGGGCCCCAAATACGTCAGTCTAATCCATCACACCGTCCCTCCTTGTCTTACCGCTGACGTCCTTAGAAACCGAGCTCTTCAACCCCACACAACTTCATTCTCTGCTCGACGTCTGATTTGACCTGATCCTGTAGAATGTAAGACTAACGTCGCGGAACACCACCCCGCCCGAACCCGCCACCGGTCGAGTTCCAGCCTTGGGTAACGCTCTGCTTCACTATCATCGCGGCAGCCGCCGCGGCAGCCATTCGCTCCTTTTGACGGTGTCTCTCCTTGAGGTATCCAGCCGCTTCGGGTCGCATGCGCAAGATCCGAAGAATCATGTCATCGGATGGGTCAGCCTGAGCTTCCTTCCGTTTTTCTTCCTTGGCCCGGCGCATGGTACCAAGGTTGCGGCTCATCATGATACTTTTACCCCTGCGGATGGTTCCCATGCTCGCGAAAGCCGGGCCACTTTGGGAAGGACTAAGCGATACGCCCAACGACGCGGGTGCAGAGAGACGATTGGGGCTCATCTGCCCCTGAAGCTGCTGCTGCTGACGCTGGGCGGCAGCCGCGGCCATACGTTCTGACGTGCGAATCAGGTTTTCGGTAGAGTCGAAATAGAAGAAGTTGAGCGAGGCGAGCTCGTGATACTTAGGCGATCTAAGGACTTCGGCGGGAACACCAAGGACTTCACCATCTTCGTCTCGCGCATTGAAAAATTCGAATAGGAGCTCAAGCCACTTGTAGACAACATCGAGCTCGCGCTGAGTAAGTGGCCGTTGGTTAGACGGCTTATCTGAAAGCGGTGGCACGAGGAGGGCTTCGATGGCCATGAGCACTTCTTTCCACAGACGGGTCATAACCGCAACCATGGTTGCCTCCGTCAACGTATCCTTCATAGTAGCAAAGTTTTCATTGAAGTACGCAAAAAGAGACTGCAATGCGTTTTCGATTTCGGTATTTGTGATTTGCGGGATCGTGGACGCTCGTTTAAAGAATGAATTGACTTGCGAGGCAAGGTTGTGCCCGAGGAGGTTTCGTAATGCTTCGTAAGATAGCGATGCGTTGATATGCCGTGTAAGCTTTATGCGAATTTAGTTAGCTGCTTGTCTACGTGATTTCGGAAATGAAGAAGAACTTACCTTGTCTGTAATTTTACGGACCATATCACGCTCCGTCCTCTTCAGGTGTCGGAATGCTTTGCCAAAGTAGAACTGTATGTCGTCTCGTTCTCCCTCCATGCTTACCCTTAAAAGTATCCTCCCCTGGGTATCGAGGTCAAGCCAGAATTCTCTGGGAAGGTAATCGCTGAAATGTATCGGATCGAGCTTCAGCGAGGTTCTGCCTACAAAATCGTGGTCGCCGAAGGTATCGTAATCCCAGATCGTAGCCACGATGTTAAGAGGGCCGGAGACTGTTACGTCGACCGACTCGTCCCAACGGGGGTTGAGAGATCTCATGACAATCCGCGTTTTGTGTAAACGCTTTTGGTACTCGTCCACAAGTA